TCTAGGCCCGAAACGTCAGCTTTCCTGCACCTCTGATGCTGCTTGGCCTGCTGTGTTCATCCAGCTCTACACCTTGTTATCTCGGATTCTCCAGCATCTGCAGCTCCTACTCTCTCTAAATCCTCATGAGTTTATATTGTCTGTGAGGCAACAATTTCAAAAGAATGAAAAATTCATAAGCTTATAGAGTTTTATAAGGATGTACAGCATGGAAACAGACCCTTTGATCCAACTGATCCGTGCTAACCATATATCTTTAAATAAATCTAATCCCATTTGCCAGCGTTTTGCCCCTATCCCTCTTAAACCCTCCCTATTCATGTGCCAATCCAGATACCTTTTAAATGTTGCAATTGTACCAGCCTCCACTACTTCCTCTGGCAGCTCATTCCATATATGCACCACCCTCTGCATGAAAACATTGCCCCTTAGGTGCCTTTTTTTTTTTTAAATCTTTCCACTCTCTCCTTAAACCTATGCCCTCTAGTTTTGGACACCCATATCCAGGGAAAAGACCGTGGCTATTCACCCTTTCTATGCCCCTCAAGTTTTATAAACCTCTTTTAAAGTCACCCCTCAGTCTCCAACACACCAGGAAAATAGCCCCAGCCTATTCGGCCTCTCCCTATAGCTCAAATCCACTAACTCTGATAACAACATCCTTATAAATCTTCTCTGAACCCTTTCAAGTTTCACAACATAATTCCTGCAGTAGGGAGACCAGAGTTGCATGCAGTATTCCAAAAGTGGCCCAACCAGTGTCCTGTACAGCCACAACATGACCTCCCAACTCCTATACTTGATGCACTGACCAATAAAGGCAAACATACCAAATGCCTTCTTCACTATCCCATCTATCTGTGACTCCACTTTCAAGGAACTATGAACCTGTACTCCAAGATGTCTTTGTTCAGCAACACTTCCCAGGACCTTACCATTTCAGTGTATGAATCCTGCCCTGATTTGCCTTTCCAAAATCCAGCACCTCACATCTATCTAGATTAAACTCCATCTGCCACTCTTTTTGGCCCATTGGCCCATCTGATCAGGTCCCGTCGTACACTAAGGTAACCACCTTCGCCATCCACTACACCTCCAATTTTGGTGTCATCTGCAAATCTCAGGGTTCAGTAAAAATCTTCTTCCCATTGTGTTATTATTTAAGAGCTGAGTATACGGATGAGCCAAGGACCAGGATGACACTACATGACTAACAACCATGAGGATTCAAATCAGCCACATGCTTGACTGAGTTCACGCACATAGATTATTCTGTAACTGCAAGTTATGTGTTTAAGATTTTCAAGTAAATTTAACCTATGAGATTTACCAGGAAACTGTAAGAGTAGTCATTTTGTGTTAAGGAAAGCGGCACAAAAATCCATTGTTTTAGGAGGAGCCTGGTCCTAACTGCTTGACACAGGTTGTCTACAGAAGCCCTATCCTTTTCTTGTGGACACAGCATGATAAACGTTAACAACAGATACATAAATGAATTGGGTTTTAAATAGGAAGCTGCAGGGGAAACCTTGTAGCAGATTCACGAAGTTAGTAGTTAATTTGTTGATGTTAACTAAGAACCCACTGATGTAGAGAACTGCAAATTTTGCCTTTTTAACATACAAAATAATGTAAGTTATTGCTCTGTTTGTTTACCGGCTATGAATTAAAACAGCTTGCCTTTTGTATGTGGCTTAATTTAAACATAGGAACATAGACCATTTAATTGCTCAGGCCTGTTCTACCAATCAGTGAGATCGTGGCTAATTCTGGGACTAAACTTCACATGCCTGCCTTTTCTCCATATTCTTTAATATATTTGGTTAACAGGGATCTATAACTATTGATTTTAAAATTAATTTACTGTAACATTAACTGCCTTTCTTGGAGCAGAGTTGCGAACATCTGCCACACTTGCATGTAAAGTATTTCCTGAAAGTTCTAGCTCTAACTTTTAGTCTATCACTCAACATTGTGTCTCAGTCAGCATAAATAGATTCTACTGATCATGCCTAAATTTGTAGATTTGGTTAATCTGTCAATATTTCTGTAGTGTTATGCCTTTAGATTTATTGCTTACCATGCTACTTATTTTGGTGTCATTGGCAAATTGGATATGTGACTCTCTAACCCAGAATCTCAGTTCTTCATAAATACCGTAAATGGTTAAGACCCCAAAACAGACCTCCAGGGTTTTACTGTTCTACCTACAAAAGGATCTGAAAGGCATGTGGATGAGGCCATGAGTGAGTACCATATTACAGCAAAGTACAGTGGATGCTGGAGATCTGAAACGAAAACTGAATGTGTTTGAGAAGCTAAGCATGTCTGGCAGCATCCCTGAAGAGAAACAAAGTTAAGGTTTCAAGTCTGATACAACCCTTCTTTGGAACAGAGTTCCCAAGAAGAGTCATTTTGGACATTAAACGTAAATTTGTTTCTTTCCCCAACAATATTGCCAGACCTGCTGAGCATCTCCAGTGATTGTTTTGTACCCATCCTTACAGCCGTAGTTTGTGTTATTGTATGAATTTGACTTTGATTTATTGTTGTCACCTGTACTGAAATACAGACAAAAGTGTTGTTTTACGTGCTATACAGGCAGATCTTACTAAGTACATGGAGGTAGAAAAACTGAGTGCAGAATACAGTGTGACAGCTGTAGAGAAGGTACAGAGAGATCAAAATCAACATTTGAGAGGTTCATTAAAAAGTCTGATAACAACAGGAAGAGCTGTTCTTGAATCTGTTCGTATGTGTATTCAAACTTCTTTATCTTCTGCCCGACAGAAGAGGATGGAAGAGAGTATAACCGGGGTGGGAGGAGATTTTGATTATATTGGTTACTTTCCTGAAGTAGTGGGAAGAATAGATTGAGTCACTGGATGGAAAGCTGGTTTGTGTGATGGACTGGACTGTGTTCACAACTCTCTGTAGTTTCTTGTGGTCTTGGGAAGACCAGTTGCCATACCACTGTGGTGTCTCCAGATAGGATGCTTTCTATGTTGCATTGATTTAAAAATTAGGAAGAGTCTGTGTGGGCGTGTCTAATTTCCTTAGCCTCCTGAGGAAGTAGCGGGATTGTTGTGCTTTCTTGATAGTCACGTTGACTTGGGTGACCAGGTCAGATTCTCGGTGATCATCACCCGCAGGAACTTGATGCTCTCAACCATGTCCACCTCTGCACCGTTTATTCAGCAGGGGCATGTCCTCCACTCCGCTTCTTGAAGACAATGATCAACTCCTTTGTTTTGCTGATGTTGATGGAGAGATTATTGTCTTTACACCACGCTATTAAGCACTCAATCTCCCTGTATTCTGTCTCCTTGTTTTGAGATCCACTCTACAACGGCAGTGTTGTCAGCAAATGTGTAAATGGAGTTGGAGCGGAATTTGGCCACAGTTGTGAATGTATAAAAAGTATAGAAGGGACCTGAGTAGACAGCCTTGCGGGGCACCGGTGTTGAGGATTATGGTGGAGGATGTGCTGTCACCTATTCTTACTGATTGCAGTCTATGGGCTGGAAAGTTGAGGATCCAGTTACAGAAGGGGGAGCCAAGATCCAGGTCTCAGTTTAGTGATGAGTCTGTTTGAAATTATGGTGTTGAAGGTGGAACTGTAATCAATAGGTAGGAGCCTGACATAGGTGTCTTTGCTTTCCAGATGTTCCAAGGATGAGTGTAGGGCCAGGGAAATGATATCTGCTGTAGACCTGTTGCGCCGGTAGGCGAATTGCAAAGGATCAAGGCAGTTTGGTAGGCTGGAGTTGACGTGAGCCATGATTAACCTCCTTGAAGCTCTTCATAATTATGGAGGTCAGACCATTGTCATTGAGGCACGCTGTGTGATTTTTCTTTGGCACCGGATAATGGTGGTCTCCTTGAACCATATGGGGACTTCAGATCATAAGGAGAAGTTAAAGATGTCTCGTCCACGCAGGATCTGAGTGCACGGCCGGGAACTCCATCCGGGCCAGTCAATTTTGTGAGTTCACTCTCGAAGGCTGATCTAACATCTGTGGCGGTGACCGTGGGAATAGGTGCATTCAAGGCTGTTGGAATAGGTGATATTAATTCACTGACTGCTTAAAGGGAACATAGAATACATTGAGCTCCTCGGGTAGGGATGTATTGTAGTCAGATTCTGTTTGACTTCACTTTGTAGCCCATTATGTCGTGTAAGCTTTGCCACAACGGATGGGTGTCCGTGTGGTTAGTCTGGGTCTCGAGCTTAGTTTGGCATTGCCTCTACAAGTTGGTAGTCAGACAGTATAAGTATACCCCAGTGACTGTGGGCATGGAATCAATAAGTGAGAGCAGTTGACACCACTAAACTTGAGAATATACCTAAGCAAAACTTCTAACAGGCAGCAGAAACTACTTTACTCAGTTGGGAAAAAATATTTTCAACAAATATTTTATAAAGTCAACTGACAAAAGAATGCTGTGCAAAAGACAGATAATTAAAACAATGGGCATGAAAACTGAATAAATTACTACCTGAGAATTATAAAAGTAATGAGAGATATTCCTGTATGCAATAAATTATATAGAGATACAAATTCATTCAAAGTTTATTTATGACAGAGATTAGTGTTATAGTTAAAAACATTAAATTATCAAATATCTTACTGTGCTGACAAACTTCTTTGATTTATGTTTCAACATTAGCTTCTGTGTCGGCTCTCTTCCCCGAAACTTCCAACAAATGACATTGCAGGAAAATATTATAGGGATAACAACTCTCTTTAAAAACTTTGTTTGATGATGCAACTTTTTGCACATCACTTTGGCAGTGTTTTTTAATCCAGAAAACATCAAACTTCTCTCAGTTTAGTGCATTTCTAAACACCCAAAGCCCTTGGCCTTTATACTGTGATATTGCATTCCCTATTTCAAAGTTAGTTCTGTGTGTCCTCTTTTTTTTTTTAATTTGTTTATTACCATGTTTTCAAAAATAGCAGTTGCATTTGAATTTTTTCACCATTATTCCCAGCTGTAATGAAAATACATGCTTTTCTGATTTATGCACGAAGGTCAAGTTCTAATCAAAGACTTTTTTTTTTTTTGTTTTTTCAAAAAAGCTTGTGCTTGCAATGAGATGGTGACGATGGGGCTTCTTGCAATACTGCAGTAGTATTGTTGTCAATATAAAAAGCACTGGAGAATTTGGTTAATCCAGATCCTGTGTGAAAACTTTTAACACAGACACCACAATATAAAGCAATGGTACTACCAAACAATTCAGCACCTCCCACAAATCATCATGTATGCACATTAGTATGCAAACTTGGAAACAGGATTTCCTGTTTTACATTCGCAAAATGACTTTTTTTCATTGGTCAGCATTTAATTCAATGAGTCATTTATTAGAGGAGTGAGCAAGTCTCGATGCCATTCTGCATATAATATGCCTATTGAAAATTTTAAGATGAGAAATTGTGAACCGGAAATTAATTGTTTCTCCTCCAAGATGCTGCCTGGCCTGCCAAGTAGTTCCAATCCTACTCGTTTTTTTGAGATTTTCAGTATCCATAGTATTTTTATTTTGGATTTAAAACATTCATTTTGTTTCATACTAAGGGAAGGCTTTAAGTTAGGTTTCCATCCCCTGACTAGTACCCCCACCATGGGCAATGAATTATGTCAGATCAAATTGAAGCAAAATGTGTAACAATGCAGTCCTGAGAAACCACATTCAGCCCAGAACCAGAGTTTATACCCCAAAAGGATTTCTTAGCTTTCTTATTGTACAGCAAAACCCACCTGCTAAAAGCACAAATATGCTAAACTTGCTAGATCTTGCTGAGGGGTGCAAAGTAGCCTTATGTGCTGTGTCACAAATATGACCTACTCTAGATTTAACTAACTTGTGAGTGGTTGGAATCATATCTAGCTGAAAGGAAAACCAGTCCTCTCTGACTGCAAGAGCTCCCCAGGGCAGTGTTCTAAATTCAAGCAGCTTCAGCTTTTATTTATATTTGTTCATGGAATGTGAGTGCCACTGGCTAGGCCAGCATTTGTTGCTCATCCCTGATTGTTCAGAAGACTGTTAAGAGTCAGCCACATTGCTGTTGGTCTGAAGTGACATGTAGCCCAGACCAGGATGGGATGGTTGATTTTTTTTCTTTTTTACAGGACATAATGAACCACATGGGTTTTTGCGACAATTGACCATGGCTATGTTCCAGATTTTCATTGAATTCAAATTTCAGCATTTGCCGTGGTGGAATTCAAACCAGTGTCCTCAGTACGTTGGCCTGAGATTCTGGATTTCTGGTCCAGTAGCATTACCACGATGCTGCCACCGCTGTTTTGGCTGAAGCTAGATGTGAGAACCAGTTGCTGTTCAAAATAAAAGACAGTTCTGAATTTTTGAGAAATAGATTATTTCAGTGTAAGGAATTAATTTGAACGTTTCATACCAGAAGTGTTTGGTTGAAACCTGGAATGGCTTATTTGAAGCTGGGAAAGTCTAAACTCCGTTTTATGAAGACTCAAGGAACAGGATAGCAGATTCTCAAGATGGGGAATTTAAGCCACTGCTAAGCCCGAAATAAATGGAAGAACTGTGGATACTAGAAATCTGAATCAGAAAATTGCTGAAGAAACTCAGCAGGTGTGGCAGCATCTGTGGAGAGAAAGCTAAGTATGATAGAGAAGGGAATTCTTGTATGAGTATTGTGAAGGGATGCTTTTGGGATTAGTGGAATTGATTTTACCATGTGTTTCAAAATCTTCAATATGCAAGTATGGTTTAAACGATTTTATCTCCATTGATTTTTGCACAATAAACTTATACCTTCTTATTAAAAGGGAATCTGCAGTATTTTTTTAAAATCAGTTGTTGGATGTGGACATCACTGGCTTGGCCTTATTGCCTGTCTCTAATTGCCCTTGAGAATGTGGTGGGGAACTGCCTCCTTGAACGATTGCAGTCCATATGCTGTAGGGAGGGAATTCCAGGATTTTCACCCAGCAATAGCGAAGGAACGGTATGTATTTCCAAGTCAGGATAGTGCATAACTTGGAGAGGAACTAGCAAGTGGGGTTGTTCCCACGTATTTGCTGCCCATGTCCTTCTAGATGGAGGTGGTTGTAGGCTTGGAAGGTGCTGTCTCAGGATCTTTGGTGAATTTCTGCAGTGCATCTTACAGATATTAGCAGTGTGAACTAAGCATTGGCCGTGGAAAGAGTTGAAGTTTGTGGAAGTGGTGCCAATGAAGCAAGCTCCTTGCATGTTGTTTGGGCTGTATTCATGCAGGCAAGTGGGGACTATTCCATCACATTCCTGACTTGTGCCATGTAGATGGTGGTCAGGGTCTGGGGAGTCAGGAGGTGAGTTACTTGGTGCTGGATTCCTAGCCCCTAGCCTGCTCTTACAGCCACTATATTTATATGGCCAGTTCAGTTGTATTTCTGGTCAGTGGTGACCACCAGGATGTTGGTGGTGTGGGTTGTGTGAAAGAACACGTCATTGATATCAAGAACAAAATGATTTTCAAGCCTGATTTCTGTGTGGGATCTGACTTATCATGTAATGATACCAGTTGCAGGTGGAACCAACATTTAATATGGCATGGTTCATGTTCCTGCTCGAGACATGTGGATCATGTCAATGCATAAGTATTTTATGATGAGCTGTGTTGCTTGCCATGCCACTGAGGATATGATATTCACAGAAAATTGTTTTCTTTGAGAAAAATGTTTATGTTTTCAGAGCATTTGTGCTACTCCAGAATACTGAAGATGAAGAAAAACTTAAGTGTGCTCAGAGAAATTGGATGCGAGCTTTATGGTAAGTTATAAATGACTGCTGAACAATACGTGTTTTTACAGTTATCTTCCATTTTATTTCTGACAATGAATGCTATAAAATATATTTAGAATATATGTACTAGTCAGTTTTCTTTAAACAACTGTATATAATGTTCACTTTATTATATAATAATCAGTTGCATGTAGTTGATTTCTTTTTTGGGACTTTTCATAACTTTAGGAATTTTGCAGGAATGTAGTGGCATTGTGGTCATGTCACTGGACAAGTAATTCTGACAGCATTGATTTTGCCAAGGTGTGATTTGAATCAATCAATTAATCAGTCATAAATAATCCTAGAAGAGACTAGTTTCACTAATAAGAGATTATCATTAAATGTGGTAAAAGCTATTTAGTTCATTAATTACCCTTGGGGAAGGAAATCTGCCAGCCTTATCTGACTTCAAATCATAGCAGCATGCTTCAGTCATAACAAGTGAAGGCAACAGACAATGTATTGCCACTGACACCCACATCCCATGAAAGAATAAATAGAATAAAGAAAAAGAAATTGGGTTTAAAAATAAATCAAGAGTATGAAGCTCTTATCAAGCTGACATTGGAGTTGGTGTTTTGATGTCCTCAGAAATGCTTGCACAAACCAAGGATTTTTTTTTTTTTTTTTTTTTTAAAAAGAATCTTCTTAAGATTTCTCCAGAGCTACATTTTGATTTTTGGGGCCTGATTATTCATTTCTCGGGGCTGCTTTTATCATTCGCTCAATCTAATGCATTTATTAGATATAATGCTATTAGAGTGACAGTTTCTTCTGTATTTGTCTTAATGTTTGGGGCACTTAGACTTGAGCAGAAACAGGGTTAGAATTCATCAGTATTCTCAATAACTATCAACAGTACATTAAATGTGAACAGAAACACAGAAGGAAACCTTAAATTTCCTTATTTACCACCTTATTTAAATTGACAACAAGCATTAGCATGCATCAGAAGTTTTTTAAATAAGTAGCACATATTTCATCAAAAAAAGCATTAATTTGCAAGCAACTTGTTAGTTCAGTGACTCCCAGTTGCTGAGTGTTCTTTAATTGATAGGTTTAAAACTGCCCAAGCCTCCCCCCATTCCCCTTTGTCTCTGGCTCCTCTTTCCACTCATCTTTTATAGCCACTTCCTTCTCCCCTTTTCTGCAGCCACTGCTTTCTCTGCGACCTGCCATCCAAAATTTTCCTTTGCTGCCACTGCATTCTCCTCCTTTTCTCCTCGCTCTGCCTATCAGATATTCGCTTCTGGATCCTGTTCCCTTTGCAAACACTGGCTATGTGCACCCATCCCCACTGTCATTTTAGGCATTCACTTCTGACCTTGCCCAGCAACCTCAGTTCCAGTCTCACCCATTCTTAACCTGGCAGTGCGCAGCAAATAAGAACATGTTTAAAAATCCTGTCTGAATTTTAGGTCCCACCTAAAGGTGCTGAAATGTTGATTTCCTGTCACCATTTCTGCCATTGGTGACTTTCATCAGGTCATGACCTCCAGAACTGACCTATCTCCAAATGAATCCAATTAAGCTAGTTAAATAGCTCTTTTGAGAACTTGTGGAGACCGGCTGGAGATTTTGAGGGGGGTTGCAAAGGCTGCACACTGGGTCATGTAGAGTGCCAGGTGCATGGAGGAAACCAGTCATTGCTGCTCTGAACAGTTAGCTGGAATCATGAAAGGGATAACAGCTGACAAGGCATACTGGTCCCATCAGGAAAGCTTAAGTTAGAGTGAGTCTTTAGTATGTGCTTGAGCAGTCCAAGATGTTGACTCGATGGGCCAAAAGATGACTTCTGTACTGTATGATTCTATGACCCCTTAGATTTCAGATCCACTGACAAAGGGAAGCAGCATCCTCTGCAGGAAGGGCAGAGAGAGGCTTGAGCACAGGAGGGCAGCAGAGTGGTACGAGGGAATGGGAAAGCCTAGTCCTCCGTTTAAGATCTATTGCCTTCTGATCACTCATGGTTTGCTCATCACCCACTTTCACCCTTTTGAAGAGCATGAGTGGATGTACCATGGTGACTGGGCTGCAGAGGGTACCCTCACAAGATGTGAGGATGACTGTTCTGAAATCTCTGCTGGTGGCGCTTGCCCTATACAGACTTAGGAATCTGTCCTCAACACTGACCAATGGGGAAACCAAAGAAAAGATAAAGATATCTAACTTCTGTGTTAGAAGCCCCAACAGTGTTACAATTTCTTCAATTTCTTCCTGTTATGTTAAATAGAGTGTAGCGAACAGCATCCCTTTCATTTTTGCATTACAGCTCCTAATCACTCTTAAACAATAGGGATGCATATCACACCTTCCTCATCTTGTTCATGATCAGTCACTGTGGACATATCCATTGCTACCTTCACCATTATGGTCGAAATGTGCAAGTTGGACTTGTCTCCAAGTATTTTGTCCAATCTTTTGCAGGAATATAAGAAAAAAGGGCTACTGCTGCTTGTTATGACCAGTGCCATTAACTCATTAATGTAAATTGCAGGTATCCGTGCTGGCAAGTTTTCAGCACTGAGAATCCCACTGAAGGTTCAAGCTGTGCCCTGTTCATTCATTCCACTGGCTCAGGCTCCTCAGTTGGAAAGTCTCCTGGAGGTTGAATACCCAAAATCCTGAGGGTCTGGGTGATGCAGTCATCTTGCCTGAATGAGTAAAGTCATTGAACCTCTTCCAGCACAGCGCCAGGTTCCTCCTGACCACATTGTATTTTCTTATTTCACGTAATCCCAGACATGTTGCAGTGCAGAAGGTTACCATTTGGCTTGTTGTATCTGCATTGGCACTTCAAATGAGTGCCATTATCTGGTGCCAATCTCCTGCTCTTTTTCCGTACCCTTGAACGTTATTTCTATCCAAATAATCATTCCAAGTCCTCTTGAATGTCTTCACTACGCTTTTAGGCAGTGCCTTCCATACCTTTTCTACTTGCTATGTTTAAGAAAAGGTATTTTATCACCTCACATTTACTACTTTTGCAAATCACTTTAACTCCATGCCCTCTGGTCCTTGATTCGTTTAGAGTTCGTTGTTTGTCTGCTTGGTTTGGGATATTGGTCTTCCACTGCTACCCTCGTCGAAAGACACCTCCTTTTCTGTTGCTTGTTGCTTCACTGAGGACCTCCTGATCCCGCATCTATAAAGTGAGGGGCAGTTCAGACCTCTGCCTTTCTTATACCATATCTATGAATGAGTATACATATACATGTGAATGAGTAAAACAACAGCCGCAATAATGGGTGCTGTGGACTGTTAATTCAAGTTTGCACTTGCTATGTCCTATCTCCATTCTGCCCCTGCAGCTGCTAGTTAACTCCCTAACCCACATTCTGGCCAATACACATGGGCCGCTCCTGTGAAAATAGATAAATGGGATTTGCATCTCTTCATTAGATACAAATACGAAGCTATAACAGGATAAGCTATCCTATAAAATTAACATAAGGCTAATTTATATAAACTTTGTAATCCAGCTAATCTTTACATACCAGATGAATCTTTATATTTTAATAATTTTCAATACTTTTTGTTTTTATATAATTCATTACATTGATGTTGCATTTTGCAGCACGAGACTATCCCAAGTATAACCTAAATGTGTCACAGCTCTCATGCAAACTGTGACAGCAAACAGTCCTATCTTTGCATAGAAATGGAGAGAACTGAAAATGAATCAGATTTTTAAGTTTTAAAGTTATTACACACGTCTAACTTGGATAAAAGATCTCCAGTCTAGTAATTAATGTGTTAGATTGATCATATAATGCTTTTTCAAAATATTTTTTGTTACTGTTACATTTGGAGTTTTTATCTTTGATGGATTAAATGAAGATCAGCTGTAATGTGACTGCCCTGAAAAATATTAATTATTGCTGTTTGTATTTACCTTGAGCTTTATAACGCATGCAGCTTGAAGTTGACCTTGCTTCCACATTGAAGTCACCATTCTATTTTTTAGTGCTGCGGGTCAGTATGAGAAGGCCATCCGGACTTACATGTTGAACCCACTTGTGGAGTTTGATGACATAATTTGTCTTGCTCTGGCTTACTTGAAGAAAGGCCTTCTTCAGGAGAGTGCCAAAGGTAAAGATAAGTTTAGCGTGAACTAATTACATGGGGAGAGCCTGAAAGTCGGATATTTCTGTGTAAAGTGTACAATATTTATTAGTCCAGATGTATAGGTTTCATCTTAGTTTAACCAATATATGATACAAACAAACTATGAAATATGTTTTTAACTGTTTATAAGTCAAATTACAGTGACCTGGATTTGAGGTCAGCAGTGAAGCAGTAGTGGTCACTGCTGCCCTCCAAGAAACTTGCCTATGAAGATAGAATGATCTCTGTGGTGTAGATTAGCTGTTTTCACTGTGGATCTAGTGTCAAGTCAAGTGGATCTCCAGGCATCTAGCCATCAAGTCAACTATGCAGCATATTACATTAAACTATTTTCACAAACAGCAAGGATGTAAAATGCATCAATTATCCTTCACTTGTGAATATAATCCTACAGAGACCAAAATAAATGATTAGGATATATGGCCAAAGTCAGAAGTCACATGACACCAGGTTATAGTCCAACAGGCTTGTTTGGAATTGCACAAGCTTTCAGAGTGCAGCCCCTGCACCTGACAAAGGGGCTGCCCTCCAAGCTTGTGTGATTTCAAATAAACTGTTGGACTATAATCTGGTGTCTTGTGACTTCTGACTTTCTCCACCCCAGTCCAACACTGGCACCTCCACATCATAGGATATATGGAATTAAGGTTGAAATTGAGATACCATAAATTTAAAAATGTCTGCTTATTAAATTTGTGGAGACATTTGACATTTCACCAACAAAATTTTTCAGCAGTGATTGTATTTGTTGCTGCACCCTTGGGAGAAATGTAGAATTAGAGGCATGCAATTTCTCAATTTCCGTGTTCAACTACACATGGATATGGTAAGTTTCAGAAGAAAGATTAGTGCTAATGGTTTTGCCATCATTGCCACCACAAAATTTGAGCCTTTCTTGAAGTGGGAGGGAGAAAGCTGTCAAAAGATTAACAACAATCACTGTTGTGTTTCAAAGTAATTCCTTTTTCTGAATTTGATTTCAGCAGCTCTCCATGGAAAAGTACTGTACAATACCACCTTGAAGAAAGTGATTTAATTTTGCCCAGTGAATTCTTGCATACTATCATCCAATTGATATTCTAAAATTTGTTAGCCAGATAGTGGTAATTATTCCTATTGTGCATGTGTTTTTTTTTCGTGTAATAACAAGTTTATCAGTTGGGGTTTGATTTTTTGGCTCATTTTTATTTTATACAGCTTATGAAAAGGCTTTAACTATTGCCCGTACAGAGAAAGAGAAAGCACACATAATGATTGCTCTTGCAATGATTGCCTTCAAAGAGGGTAGAATGAACAATGCCAAGACTTTACTCTTCAAATGGTAAGTATGTACAAAAACACAACTTTTGTTACTTGCCATTCCAATTTTCAGTTGCTTGCATGTTTTGAGTTTTCTTCTTTGTAGTTCATAAATTTTGATGATTAAAGGATATTGAGGTAATTTTAATCTAGTGTACAAAGTTGTTGAATGCACAAATAAATTACATTTTTAGATAGCATGAACGGTTACCCACCACGTCAAAAAACTGATTCCTGTGCACACAGGCAGAAAGAGAAGTCTACCAAATGAAATAATACTTTGTGCCATCTGAACACCAGTAATGAGGCAAACTTCAAAATTCTTGACAACAAGGTGCAGAGCTAGATGAACACAGCAGGCTAAGCAGCATCATAGGAGCAGAAAGGCTGACGTTTTGGGCCTAGACCCTTCATCAGAAATGGGGGAGGGGAAGGGGGTTCTGAAATAAATAGGGGGAGGCGGATAGAAGATGGATAGGTGGAGAGGAAACCAACAGATTGAAGAGGCGGGGATGGAGCCAGTAAAGGTGAGTGTAGGTGGGGAGTTAGGGAGGGGATAGGTCAGTCCAGGGAGGACGGACAGATCAAGGGGGCAGGATGAGGTTAGTAGGTAGGAGATGGGGGTGCAGCTTGAGGTGGGAGGAAGAACAGGTTAGGGAGCCGGGGACGAGCTGGACTGGTTTTGGGATGCGGTAGGGGGAGGGGAGATTTTGAAGCTTGTGAAATCCACATTGATACCATTGGGCTGCAGGGTTCCCAAGCGGAATATAAGTTGCTGTTCCTGCAACCTTTGGGTGGCATCACTGTGGCACTGCAGGAGGCCCAGGATGGACAATGTCGTCTGAGGAATGGGAGGGGGAGTTGAAATGGTTTGCGACTGGGAGGCGCAGTTGTTTATTGCGAACCGAGCGTAGGTGTTCTGCAAAGTGGTCCCCGAGCCTCCGCTTGGTTTCCCCGATGTAGAGGAGGCCACAACGGGTACAGCGGATGCAGTATACCACATTGGCAGATGTGCAGGTGAACATCTGTTTGATGTGGAAAGTCTTCTTGGGGCCTGGGATGGGGGTGAGGGAGGAGGTATGGGGGCAGGTGTAGCACTTCCAGCGGTTGCAGGGAAAAGTGCCAGGTGTGGTGGGGCTGGAGGGGAGTGTGGAGCGGACAAGGGAGTCACGGAGAGAGTGGTCCCTCCGGAAAGCAGATAAGGGTGGGGAGGGAAAGATGTCTTTGGTGGTGGGGTCGGATTGCAGCTGGCGGAAGTGTCGGAAGATGATGCGTTGGATCCGGAGGTTGATGGGGTGGTACGTGAGGACGAGGGAGATTCTTTTTTCATTCTTATTGCGTGGATGGGGTGTGAGGGATGAGTTGCGGGAAATGTGGGAGACACGGTTGAGGGTGTTCTCGACCACTGAAGGGGGGAAGTTACGGTCCTTGAAAAACGAGGACAACTGAGATGTACGGGAGTGGAATGCCTCATCCTGGGAGCAGATGCGGCGGAGGCAAAGGAATTGGGAATAGGGGATGGCATTTTTTTGCAGGAAGGTGGGTGGGAGGAGGTATATTCTAGGTAGCTGTGGGAGTCGGTGGGCTTGCAATGGATATCTGTTTCTAGGTGGTTGCCCGAGATGGAGAGACAGAGGTCCAGGAAGGAGAGAGAGGTATTAGAGATGGTCCAGGTAAACTTAAGGTTGGGGTGGAAGGTGTTGGTGAAGTGGATGAACTGTTCGAGCTCCTCGTGGGAGCACGAGGCGGCGCCGATACAGTCATCAATGTAACGGAGGAAGAGGTGGGGTTTAGGGCCAGTGTAGGTAAGGAAGAGGGATTGTTCCACGTAACCTACAAAGAGGCAGGCGTAGCTTGGGCCCATGCGAGTACCCATGGCCAACCCCTTTGTCTGTAGGAAGTGGGAGGAATTGAAAGAGAAGTTGTTGAGGGTGAGGACAAGTTCGGCTGAGCGGATGAGGGTGTCAGTAGAGGGGGACTGGTCGGGCCTGCGGGACAGGAAGAAGCGAAGGGCCTTTAGGCCATCTGTATAGGGAATGCTGGTGTAGAGGGACTGGACGTCCATGGTAAAGATGAGGTGTTGAGGACCGGGGAATCGGAAGTTCTGGAGGAGGTGGAAGGCGTGGGTGGTGTCACGGACATGGGTAGGGAGTTCCTGGACCAAGGGGAAGAAAATGGAATCTAGATAGTTGGAGATCAGTTCGGTGGGGCAGGAGCAGGCGGAGACAATGGGTCGACCAGGGCATTCAGGTTTGTGGATTTTGGGAAGGAGATAGAAGCGGGCAGTGCGGGGTTGGGGAACAATGAGGTTGGAGGCCGTGGGTGGGAGGTCACCTGAGGTGATGAGGTTGTGGATGGTTTGGGAGATGATGGTTTTGTGCTCGGGGGTGGGGTCAAGATCAAGGGGGCGGTAGGAGGTGGTGTCGGAGAGTTGGCGTCTGGCCTCGGCGATGTAGAGGTCAGTGCGCCATACTACAACTGCGTCTCCCTTGTCCGCGAGTTTTATGGTGAGGTTGCGATTGGAGCGGAGGGCTGCACGTTCTGCAGGGGAGAGATTGGAGTGGGTGAGAGGGATGGAGAGGTTAAGGCGATTGATGTCACGACGGCAGTTGGAGATGAAGAGGTCGAGGGAGGGTAGGAGGCCTTGGGGTGGTGTCCAGGAGGAGGGGGTGTGTTGGAGGCGAGAGAAGGGGTCTTTAGAGGGAGGGTTAGGTTCACGGTTGAAGAAGTAAGCGTGGAGGCGGAGGCGGCGGGAAAAACTGCTCTATGTCCAAACGTGAGTGGTATTCGTTGATGTGTGGGTGGAGGGGGGCAAAAGTGAGCCCTTTACTGAGGACTGACCGTTCGTCCTCAGTAAGGGGTAGGTCTGGGGGGGATGGTGAAGACTCGGCAGGGCTGAGTGTTGCTGTCTTCTCTGGAGCTGCTGGCAGTGGGCGGAGTTGCGACGGCGTCGGCGATGGGCGGAGCGGCGTTGGCGGTGGGAGGAGCGGGGTAGGCGGCGGCAGCAGCGGTGACGGTGGGCGCGACTTCAGTGTCTGTGGTGTTGGTCTCGGAAATGGAGACGGTGGCATTGGCAGCGATGACGTTCACTGTCCTGGAAGTGGGGTACCCAGCGGTGGCGGATGTGACGTCATCTGTGGGTTCTCCGACAGTGGCCTCATGGCCAATGGCGGCGGGCACATTGTGGGGAAGGTCCTGGGTACGGCTGGGGATTTGGGGGGTGGAGGAAGCCCGTTTTGGGTGGTCGGCACCAGTAAGTTTACTGTACTTACGGTTTTTAGTGTCCAATAAAGCTGAGTAGAATTGTGAGTTCAGGTTGTGGATCCTACGAAGAATGAAGAACAGGAGAGGTCCTTTGCAGGTCTGGGAGGGGGAGGCTCTGAGCTGGGGTAGGCTTGATTGTAGTGCCTGGAGATGACTGACTTTAAAAATGCACCCAATTTCTCAGTCCCTATTCAGAATTTACCATGCTCCATGTCAAGATCGGCTTTACTGCAGTAATTTGCAGTAGATTTTTGATTTTGCTGAGCTTTTTACGTTTTGGAACATGAAGGAGAAAGAGCAAACATAAATGGTTTTGAAATAGGATCTGGGCATTGATAGCGAAAGAGATCTTAGCAAGGTTGCATTTATTGCCCTGCATATTAATGGGTATGATCATGAATTTTAATTGTCTTTGTGAACTCTGAGATCGTAAATACTACAGTCAGTGTGCTGCTAATGAAGTGGTTGGTTTTGAATGCTGTGACTCTTTATTTAATGCAGGGGTACTGATCATGCAATTTTTTTTTAAAATTCATTCAGCAATGTGGGTGACATTGGGTGCACCAGCACTTATTGCCCATCTCTAGGTGCTGTTGAGGGGGTAGTGTTGAGTGGCTCCCTGAATCTCCAATCCACAATGCCATTGAGACAGAAGTTCCAAGATGTTGACACAGTGGCAGTGAAGAGGTGCTGATCTAGTTCCATGTTGGGAAAGTATGTGGCTTAGAAGGGAACTTGCAGGTGGTGGCCTTCCCATTTATCTGCTGCTCTTACCCTCCCAGACAGACATGGTCATTTGGTCTGGGTGATGTTGTTGAAGGAGCCTTGGTGAATTAGATGGTACACAGTGTTGTTACTGTGTATCAGTAATGGAGTAAATGAATATTTGTGAAGATGGTGCCAGTCAAGCAGGCTTCTTTGTCCCAGATGGTGTCAACATCATGTGAAGTTGGAGCTGTACCCATCCTGGCGAGTGGGGACTATTCCATTGCACTCCTGAATTGGGCTTTACAGATGGTAATGCCATTGAATGCCAAGAGATAATGGTTGGATTCTCTCTTGTTAGAGATGCTAATCTTACTTGCTACTTGTCAGCCCAAAACTAGACATTGTATAGGTGTTGTTACATTTCAACATGGATTGTTTCTGACTCTGAGCAGTTGCAAATATTGCTGAACATTGTGCAGGTAATCAGCTGCCTCATAAATAGCCTTCCCTTTATCATTAGATCAAAACTGGTGATGTTCAGTGAAGATAGCTGGGCCTAGGACACTACCCTGGGGAATTAAGGGCTCTTGAGATGCGCTAATGGTGTCCCTACCTCTGAGCCAGAGGGACTGGGTTCACGACCCACCTGCTCCAGAGGTATGTTACAACATCCTGGAATAGGTTGAGTTTAAAAGCTCTTAGGGCCCTTGTGACATAGTGGTGGTGTCCCCAGCTCTGTACCAGGAAGCCCAGGTTCAAGTCCCATCTGCTCCAGAAATGTGTAATTGCGTCTCTGCACGAGTTGATTAGAAAATACCTACCTGAGGAACTAAGGACTCTTGGTGCATAAGGGTGGTGTTCCTTTCTCTGAGCTGGGAAACCTGAATTCAAGTCCAACCTATTGCAGAGGTGTATCATAACGTGAACAGGTTGACTATAAGCATCCACTCTGTGGAACTCTTGCAGAGCTATCCTGTACTGAGATGTTTGATCTCCAATAACCACAACCATCTGACATCCTTACCTGGTTTGTCCTACATGCATCTCCAGACCGAAAGCAATGTGGTGGACTCTTTTAACTGTCCTCTAGAGAATGGGCAATAAATGCTGGGCGAGCCAGAGCCACCCATGTTCCATGAGTTAATTGAAAAACAAACTTTCTAGTGCAAACCATTTGCAGCCAGCAAGGACAAGAAATGTTTAGCCACTTCCCATTAGTTTTGGTATGATTTTAAATCCTATTCCATATAAACTGTCTGAGCTTCCAGTGAGACTATGACTAATTTGTTGTGTAATACCAAATATCTATTTCTTTTTAAACTTATCTAAATCTAAGCTGCACATCTCCCTCCACCCCCTGCCTTCTCCAACACCTTCCTTTAGGTGAGCTGCCCAGATCTATTCACAATATTCCTGTTGTGATCGAAGTTAGACTTTTATATAGCTGAAGCTTGACTTCAAACTTGTTGCATTTTATACCTTCAGATATAAAGATTGTCGTCCCATTAGTCTTTTTGTTTTTTTTTAAATTCTGGACCATTTCATGATATTTTAATCTGTTTATAAGGACTGCTTCAATTTCTAGCCACTGACTATTTAGGAAGTACACTGTTTCTATCCTATTTAAATCCCTAAATGAATGAATGATTTCACATATACCTGGATTTAAATCTCTTTGCCACAGTTTCCCCAATTGATCTATCAATACCTTCAGCAAATTTAAATGCATGGCTTTCCATCCTATCAATTAAATTGCTAATAAATATGGAGAACAGTTGAGGCACAAATACAGATCCCAGGTTTTTGAAAAGGAGGAAACCAAAACAGCAACCAAGATCATTCTTCTTGACAAAATGCAACAGCTTATTTTTAAAATTGGTCAATTATCCATTTTGCAAACTTTTATTAATGTATTCATGTTTTCTGCTGCAGTCTTACTTAGTATCAACTATATCCCCCAAGTTAGCAAGGTACACAAATTCTGGACCTTAAAGGTGACCAACAATAGTAAAAGCACCACTGCCCATATTTTACTAGTCTAAATAACTACCATTAACCTCTACCAACCCTACCAAAAATGGTTTAATTGGACATTGCATCTCAATGCAGGTCCAAAGACTGCAATTTGTATACAAAATACTGTAAGATTTACTGAATTACATTGGCAGCAGTTAAAAAGATTCATTGTATATAAAATTTGACAGAGGAGGCACCAAGTCTTCTCCCTCAATTTTTATTTTAATTTATTTAATAATTTTGAATATATTGTATACTGAAAGTGTGCCAATCTTCGATGCTTACATTATTGAATAACAAAGTTAATTTTGTTCTGTTAATTCTACGTTTTGTGTCATTTGTTTAAAAGTTCCATGCTGAAGGAGCCCAATATAGAAAGTCTGCAGGCTTTATGTGCTCTGGGTCTGTCGAAGAAGGATACCACCCTCGCTACAGCAGCACTTAATGAACTGTTCAAATATTCAGATAAAATCAACTCAACCTATGAATCCTGCCTTCTTTCTTCAGGGATGTTTTCTTTGCAAGCTAACAGTTTAGCTATGCAGAGACAGGCAGCTAAAGCTGTCCATAGGTAAGAAAAATTGATGTAAATCTATACTTTAATGTATTAATGAAAGTGTGTAGGATTTGCACTATGAAGAGAATTTAAAATGTGCATGCTGATCTTTTCTATATGATTCATACTTGAATAACAATAATAAATGTATATTATTGCACCTTGGCAGAATACAGATGTTAGTTTGTAATGCTGATACAATTAAAGCTGAAGAAGAAATTTAGTTTTGATTATTTCCAATGATACTTCAGTAGATCCTGTCTTCAAGATCACTTTAATCTCAATTTTTCAAATTTTAAATGTCAAATGCTGTGACAGACTAATTTAAATGTTTGGAATTTAGTTGGAATTCAATTAATGTTCATAACTATTCTAAAGTTTTTCTTGCAGTTTGATATTTAAACACTTGGTTTAAATTGCATTGATTTTTCCTTGTCATTCAGAATTATATTTGCATTTGGCATTCATCATAAGTGGCATTAATAGAAAGTTAAAGCATTTGTAATAAATTATTTTGGAAAATTTATTAAGTATAGAAATCAATCTGTGATAAATGTCCGTCGAGGCTGACCATCATAATGTTGCAAGCTTGAATGAGTTTTGGCATCCGTTACAGTGTGCTATTTCAAATACATGTATATATTGCTAATGCATTTAGTTTATTATTAAAGGAGTTTAATTATTACTCTGGCAGGACATGGTATAATGCAATCAGTTAAAGACTGAAGACCTGATGAACTAAAGTTTTCCAAACTGATTAATAATCACTCTAACTCTTTTATGCCAAAGAAAATTGAAAAGGGACTTGTATAACAAACAGATGATTTATAAGAGAAGACCAAATTTAGGGACATACCAAGAATTTGAGTGCAATTTTTCACAACAGAAAACCAACTGTATAGACTCGGCAGCCTAAACACTACAAAGCAATTGCATATGGCTGGAAATGAATGCAAAGTTCTATTGAAGCTTAAGTGCAATGATTATGTACAATTTTGTATGGTCAATTTATGATGACTATTATTCACAGCCCATCCTCTCCCAAAGCTGAAATGGGGGAGACATGGGAAATTATAAGAAAATGAAATGACATCTTCAGGAAAGTGATGAAGCCTGGCCTGCATCTTACTGTCTGTCCCCTGGCAGTAGAAGTAGTGCTGATGAGTTGCAAGATTTCTGTCCCTGTTTGCCATTGATACAATCTTTCCTATCCAGCATTTTAAAATGGTGGGAACAAATGAGAACCTTTTGATCGTTGTTGCCTTTAGCATGGAGTAGAATTTAAACCAGCCTGCTGCAGGAGAAAGCGTGGCAGTTGGACCTATTTAATTGTGGGAGAGGCGAAGTATCAGTCTTCAGTGATAAATAAATCCCTACAGTTATGTCAGAGGTGGGAAGGGGGTCATTTGGGAAACTCTCCCACTCACAGCAGTATGTTCATTAGGCTTACTAAAGAAACAGTTGGCACCAATTAATCAGGTCTAGCTATGATTTAGTGATGGCTCAGGGAATTAATCAAAGTTACACAACTTTTCCATGTCTCCTGAAGGCCACCCAGCAACCATATCAAATTTGTCAGCCGTCTAATTTAGAGTATGGTTTGTGTCAATGTTCATTGTCATGCACTTTGTGTCCATTTGGGGTCCTAGTAAACGGATGGAGGCACTGCTGCTGAAAATCAATCCCAACCTTGCCTCTGACCCTGCTGACACTCTGCTCTTATACACTTATGTCCAAATACCTAGTGGTCACCCCTGGAGCACAAGTGGCAGCAGCGGCTGCTGCCATGGTGCTATCTCCAATGAATGATTTCTGCTTGACCAGCAGCTCTCAGCAGGTAAGATTTTTGCCACCGTCATCCTAAATCCTAGGAAAGGTCCAATTCTGGCAATTTAAGTGGTTCATTGCTGGTAATTTGAACCAACGTGGTTTTCTCACAGTTTCCCCAAACAGAACATATATCAGTAGCATTTAATTCTGCCCATTGTCTTTGCTGCACTTCCATGCAACCAATTGCACAACATTAAATCTAGTCTGTGCTTAACTAAACCTTAATGAATGTTTTCTTCAGCAGTTAGCAGTTATTGTTGGTGGCACATTTAGTTAGTGTAATATATTTTCTATGATCTACATATGAGTTTTATTTTACCCACTTCATGTTCTGATAAGTAGTCTCAATTTTAAATTGTAAATTTTAAATTTAAAAGGATTCACTCCTTTTAAAGAATATATATTTATAAATATGGGTCCACTGGTGCAACTTTATACATCTTGTATCATGACGTCTGAACTCTTCACAAAGTATATCTATAGTTAAGTTCAAAAAATAAAACTATTTCAGTATAATAAATATTATATTATTACAGTTTAAAACTTTACTTTTCAGCAATCCAGCGGATCCTGCCCTTTGGACATTATTATCCAGACTTGTTCCACAACATACTCCCCAGATGGCAGAAGTAGGTTTTTTTTTTTTTTTTTTTTTTTTTTTTTTTTTTTTGCTTAAAATTCTATTGTCATTAGATTTTTTTTTCCCCAATATTTTCTTACAAGAGTTTGTATTTTTATATATGTCTCAACTGTTTATGGTGAGGAAAAAAATAAATATTTCAGGTAAATTATTTGGGAGTAATGAGGAACATTTAGCATTGTTTCTGCCTGGTGATGGTAACAGACTATTAGGCCAGTGCAAAACAATATGACTTGAATGGACAAGAACAACGTTAAGGATTGTTGCTTTTGTGTGGGCAGCCATTGGATTATATGTAATAGAAGTAGGCAATTTGATAATCCTCAATTCTACTTTCCTGTGTTTTCATAACTCTTGATTTCCTTAGTGATTAGAAATTTGTCTATTTTGACCTTGAAATTATTTAGCAGCCCATCCTCGGCAGTGCTCTGCAATAAAGATTTCACAGATTGGCTAATCCTCATGGGGAATAAAAAGTCCTTCACATTTCTGTTTTAAATGGGTGATGTCTTATTCTGAGATTGTCCTCTGCTGCTAGACTCTTCCACAAGGGGAAACAACTTCTCTACCTTGTCAAATAAAAACCGAAAGAATTGTGGATGCTGTAAATTAGAAAAAAAAACAGAAGTTGCTGGAAGAGCTCAGCAGGTCTGGCAGCATTTGTAAAGAAAAAAATCAGTTAACGTTTTGGGTCCAGTGACTAGTTCTGAGCAAGAGTTACTGGACCCGAAATGTTAACCCTGATTTTTTAATTCTCCAATTTAAAATGCTGTATTGTTTTAGAGGTTGTTGCTACCTTCATTTATGAACAAATGCGGATTAGTTTATTAATGTGTAAAATTATTGGTAGATAAAAGCTGTCTGAATTTCTCAACTAAATACTTGTATTATGTAATTTTACCTTTTAGTGTACTAATATGATCAGAAACTGTAGCTTGATCTTCTCAAACATTTTTTTTCTCTGTAGGGTGGAGTAGTGGCTGGCAATATTGCAGAGATTTTAAGTTCCCATCAGATAAAGGTAAATCCAAACAAAACCAGTAATCATTTTTTGTTTTGTTTTGTTTTTCAAACTAGCATCACAAATTTCAAATCTTGTATAAAAACCTTACACTTTACAAATATCTTAACATTAAACATTCATGTTTTTTTTTAATTATTGCCTTTTTTCTCTTTTCTAGCATGCACTTTTGTTCAGTGCTGCGAATCAGTTGGCAGCAGGTAAACATGCAGTAGCCAATGAACAAAAGAATGCTTTAAAAACTATTCAAAAGGCAGTCCATCTCTATCCAGGTAAGAATACCGGTCTGTGTTTCAAAGTAAAACAAATATAATGATCCCACATACCCCCCACTCCACTCCGTGTGAAAATAATACTAATGTTGGTGCACTTTTTGTTTTCTGTGCACAACTTAGGCTCATGGGTTGTGAAACACTGCATTCATCTTTATTGGCATTTGGTGAGACTGTACAACATTGGAAGGCACATTTGCAAAATCCACTATGTACATAACAAACTTGGGATCAAAAATGTTGCAAAATTGGTACTGTTACTGCCAAACTCAGAATCTCAAACACTCCAATAGTGCAGTGGATAATCCAACAATGCCATATCCTAGGCCCTGATAGCAGTACTAGCAGTACAGATTTTAGCTCTTTTTGTACTGGTTATCATCTGCTTGATATTAAAGATGTTGGCAATAAATTTGTTATTAAATATTGTTACATGTAATGTAATACCAGTTGTCTAAATGTTTCTAGTGTCTATTGATGAGCAAGCACAATGCAGCAAGCTTTGTTGGAATGGAGTCAGCTGAGACAACAGATTACCACATCAGTTAACAAGAGCATCATCGCATTGCATAGAATAGAAACAGTGTGTTCAGCATATATTGGTGATCATTCTGTGTACAAATGGCAATCCTAAATTCTTGTGCCTGTTCTATTTCCTACCACTTCAATTATCAGGTCTATCAATATTACCTCCTTCAGTCACTGGCATTGGTGATATTAGCTTCTTTCAAATTATCATGTCCACCTGAGCCTCTGCCCTCATGATTTGTGAACCTGATCCCCAAATCTTCCCAAAAAACAAAATACTGCAGTTTCTGTAAATATGCAGTAAAATTTGAATGTGAAATAAATCTGAAATGCTGGAAATCTCAGATCTGGCAGCATGTTAACTCATTGTTTCAGATTATTGCTTCAGGTTGATGTCCTTTCATGAGTTCAATGAGCTTTCATCAGACTTTCTGATTGAAAAAAGGTTATCAAATTGAAACTGTTTCTGTCTCTATGGATGCTGCCAGACTTGCAGAATACTTCTGTATTTTCTTATGCATGCACACTGGGACTGGCCCAGGGGAAGATGTACCTGTACAAGCTGGATGAGGAACTCAAACAGAGCTGGGACTAATTCCAAATTAACTTGGCAGCGATGTGGAAACTACAATAAAATAGCAGAAAAAAGTACCATTGTTCACAAAATACTTTAGACAGATAAAATTTCCTATTCTCTATACCAATCAAGAGATGAAGTCGGAGCAAGGGAGAAGGTAATGAAATCCAAATTTTGGTTATTGTGCATGTATATGAATGTATGGATTATAGGATTGGAAAGATACAGGCAGAGTGTCAAATGGAAATGTGCTGAAAACAGAGTCTTGGCTCAAGGAAGGTCAGGACTGAATGCAGAACATTCTTGGGCATGAGGTGTTTGAAAAAGATAGGAAAGGAGGTGTATGGTAGTATTGGTTAATTAGAACATTGGAATGCTGGAGAAAGAGGATGTCCCAGAGGGTTCAAGGACAAAATCAATTTGGCTAGAGCTAAGAAACAAAATGGATGTGTTCATGTTGTTTCATACAGTCTATAGACCAGTGGGAAGCACTTAGACAAACCAGAAGGGAAATTACAGAGCTGCAAACATTATAGAGTAGTTACAATGGGGGACTTTAGCTCTAAAATAACTGTAGCATGTAGACAAGGTAGTGATAACATAAAAACTGAATTGCGGCAAATGTGCCTAGATTATGTTCAGGAAAATTTTTGTTAGCCATATGTGACAAGCCCAACAGATTCTGTTGGGGAGTTCTGAGGAAGGGTCACCGGACCTGAAGCGTTAACTCTGATTTCTCTTCACAGATGTTGCCAGATCTGCTGAGCTATTCCAGCAATTTCTGTTTTTGTCTTGCTTTCCCTGGTGGGACCTGGCTCGAGAAATTGTAGTGGGCCAAGTCCATCAGTTGTCAGTACGGGATCTTGACCATGTCATTAGTGAATACAACAAATCATAAGTATCTTTTGTGAAGCAGAAATAATCGATTCACAATAACAATTCAATACTAGGCAGTTCAAAGGCTCAGAGTTGATTTCCTCTCACTTTGAATTCCTTTAGTGCTGGCCAACATGCTCTTTGTACATAATATTGCATTTCATGGGCTATGTGGGCAGGTAAAGTTTTGCACTTAGTTTCCTCCTGCATTTGCGAAACATGGCTTCTGTTGCATACATGAGAATTATATCCATTATGTCAAAGGTCCATATACAGACATTCCATGGCCCTCCTTGGTGGAGTTCCCATCTCTCAGTATATGAAGGGCTGGGCTAACCTGTCATTTGTGCGTGATGTGAATGCTGACTGCTCACTTACCAAGGGTTTGTTCTGTTTCTGGTATTCCGCGCACAAGTCATTGACACAGTGACCAATGGATCGAACCATGGCAATTATCGCAACGATGACCATGGTGCAATGAAGATGCCGACAAATTGAGGAACAAATGCATTAGCAAGGTCAGGTGCAGCAGCAAACTTGGGTGGCTTTTTAAAAAATATTTTCTTGTGGAACGTGGACATCACTGGCTGGGCCAGCATTTATTGCCCGTTCTGAGATGGCCTTGAAAAGGGTGGTGGTGAGCTGCCTTTGTGACCTGTGACAGTCCATGTGCTTTAGCTAGACTCCATGCTGACAATCGGTGTCTGCATGAAGCTACAGCTGAAAGTCCCCTCATGATGTGAAGGAGGTACGGAAGGCCTACAGAATCCATCATCCTCAATGCTGTTCTCTCCAGATGAGTGAAACACAATGCTACCACAGAACTGTCATCTACTAGAGCAAGACTTGTAACCTGAAAGGATGATGATCATCCTATCCCATTGGAGTCAAGATGACACCTGCGATAAAGTTTTATGCATCTGACTTCTTTCTGGGCAGGAGGCTTTACCTGTATAGCTGGCTTCCCCCACTTGTAGAGTGCTTTAGGCTGTAGAGAATACCATGTCATAACAAGCTTAACTTCATCAATAGGAAAGGGTTTCATTCCATCAATGTACAAGTAATCTGTGACCATTAAATATCTTCAAAATCTGTGCCAGCTACCCTGGAAGTTGCCATGATGGCTGTACCCTTGTGATCTGTGTTGCTCCTGCTTCAAGGACGAGATGCCTGACAAGGAATGTTACTGGAAGACCAGGACTACTCTCTCTGGAACCATGACTACTGATTCCAGTTACACAACTGCCAAACCGAGACTGAGCCTAGATATAATGCAGATAACAAGGTGTAGATCAGGATGAATACAGCAGGCCAGGCAGCATCAGAGGAGCAGGAAAGCTGATGTTTCGGGTCTGGACCCTTCTTCAGAAATGGGGGAGGGGAAGGGGGCTCCGAAATAAATAGAGGGGGGAGGTGATGATAGAATGTGGATAGAGGAGCGGATAGGTGGAGAGAGGACGGACAGGTTAAGGAGGTGGGGATGAAGCCAGTAAAGGTGAGTGTAGGAGGGGAATTTGGATGGGGGTTGGTCAGTGAGGAGGGAGGGGTGACTAGGTGGGAGGGCAGACGGACAGGTCAAGGAGGCAGGGACGAAATGGGCTGGTCTTGGGATGAGGTCGGGGGTGGGGAGATTTTGAAGCTTGTGAAGTCCACATTGAGACCATTGGGCTGCAGGGTTCTGAAACAGAATATGAGGTGCTGTTCCTCCAGCCTTCAGGTGGCCTCATTGTGGCACTGGAGGAGGCCAAGGATAAAGGAGTGGGAGGGGGAGTTGAATTGGTTCGCGACTGGGAGGTGTTGTTGTTTGTCATGAACCGAGCGTAGGCGCTCCACAAAGCGGTCTCCAAGCCTCCGCTTGGTTTCCCCGATGTATGCTAATTCTGCTAATGTGATATATTGTATCCACTGATATCTATTTCAAGCCCACCTGCTCTCACCCACCTTCCTGCAAGAATGCCATTCCCTATTCCAATTCCTTTGCCTCCGCCGCATCTGCTCCCTTCACTCACCTTTTTACTGGCTTCATCCCCGCCTCCTTGACCTGTCCATCTTCTCTCCACCTATCTGCTCCTCTATCCACCTTCTATCATCGCCTCCCCCCTCTCTATTTATTTTGGAGCCCCCTTCCCCTCCCCCATTTCTGAAGAAGGGTCCAGACCCGAAACGTCAGCTTTCCTGCTCCTCTGATGCTGCCTGGCCTGATGTGTTCATCCAGCTCTACACCTTGTTATCTCAGACTCCAGCATCAGCAGATCCTACTATCTCTGGACATAATGCAGCCTATTCTGTACCAGGGCCATTGTAGAGCAGATGACTGGCCTCCTGAAATTGCGATTCTGATGCTTGGTTTGCTCTGGGGGTGTCCCTGTTGTTCAGTACAAAATGTGCTGGATATTCTTTCTGTGCTTTGCACAACTGGAGTGGGCAAAGAGGAGATGTGATGAATGCTGAAAAGCTGGGAAAGGCAAACAGCTTCAAGGAGGAAGATGAGGACATTGAGCAGAAGGAACCTTCAGAATGATAGAATTGAAGCAAATGCAGATTTTTTTGTTTTTGTTTTCTTCGCATTTTCTGTTTGTTCAATTGAAGTTAATGTTTTCAACTGTTTGAAGGCTTTCTGACTTGTGATGCCCCTGCATTGAACAATGACAAGTGCTTTAGCTGTACTAAGCATTAGGGAAGAGAAACACCTCCTCAGAACATTTTACCTGGTATGGTGCTTGTGCAGCTTGATTCTTTAAGCTGCAGTTACAATGACCATAGATCTGACAAGCGCTAATGTAAAGTAGCAATACATTTGCAAATGTGAGCTTATATTTCCAATGAAATATCACCCACGCCACCCTGTGTCTTAAAATTGCTATTTTTAATTTCCCTCCTGTTACACATTATGTGAAGGATTATTTGTGGCTGGCAGCAACTGACCTAGTGCACAGTTGGGCTTTAAATATGGCACCAGTGGCAAAATTTTGGAATGTCCTGGTAGTGGCAAGTACTTCCATTGCTGGTGAGTCGGTGATAGTGCAGTTGCGGATAGATGCATACTTAATGAGTTAGGCAGTAGAGAATTGCTTGAGAACTTCGTAGAGGTCACCATAAACGTTCCATGCAACTCCCCAAAATTGATACTTAGCTAAAATTTACTGAAAATTGGCTGAATGTTTTATCTGTTTAAAATTCAGAAATGACCAGGTATCTGAACCAGGCTGGCTTGCTATCATTACTGTACATAAATGCCTTTAATTTTCCTGCTTTACACAGCTCAAATAGTGTCCTTAGCCATCAATGCACAGTATAAATATTAATAACAGTTGACAAATATCTACTAATATCTAATCTAATATCTAATTACTAATAATAATATCTACTAAAGGCGTCTAACACATTTAGTGAAAACTGAACTAGATTCTGTCCACAGAGATAGTAGGAACTGCAGATGCTCCACAGCTGTTTCAAAAAAAGGTTTGGTTTAACATTTTTGGTTTCAAGGCTTAAAAATCTATCGCAACATTTAGATATAAAATTAAGTAAAATTGGTACTAAACTCAATTTCAGTATGCTATATTGTATGCGTATATTGCAGCACGAAAAATAGTGCACGCTGTTGCTTTGTATTTACTATGTCTTAAGTAGTTGTGTTTACATATGGACTTTTGTTGTGTAGATGATCCTGCTGTTTGGGCCAGTTTAATGGCAGCCTGTCACATGGAAAATACATTATCCCATTTAGAAAACACGAAACCAAAGCATACTGCATTAGAGGAGATGTTTGTCACAACAATCACCAGCAAGGGTAAGTGATTCATTTTATGAATTTAATTTACACAGGATGCATTTAAAGATTTATCTGTATTCTTTCATAGATATTTCCTAATCACCTGTTTCACAGTTGGTGTTCCACACCTCCTGAATAGGTAGGACTTGAACCCAGACCTTCTGACCCAGAGGTAGGGAGACAACCAATGTACCACAAGAGCTCTCTTAGAGCTCCATCGATCAGATGTTGGGGTGTTGTGTATCATTACTACACTTTTTTGGATGTATTTTCTAATCACCCTGTTCAAAGATGTTTTTACACGCCTCTGGAGTATGTGGAACCTAATCCCAGGCCTTCTCGCTGACAGGCAAGGACACTATCACTCTGCCACAAGAGACTGTAAAGTGCTACATAGATATTTTTCATCAACCTGTTCAGACATGCTTAAGACACACCTCTGGAGCAGGTGAGACTTGAACTCAGGTCTTCTGGTCCAGAGGTAGGGTCACTACTACTATGCCACAAGTGCCATAAAGCTTACTGCATCTGGTATTCTCAGGCAGTCTCCTATCCAAGTACTAACCAGGCCTGAATCTGCTTAGCTTCCATAATTGGATGAGATTTGGTGTTTTCCGATAATATGTCGCATATTTATTTATTTTTTTTTTATTTTAACCTATTTTTCTAATCAACCTATTCAGAACTTATTACACATCTCTACAGCCTCTCAGTCAAGGGGTAGGGAACTATCACTGCACCACAAGAAGGCCCCCAAAAAACACAGTGACGAGTGGTATTTGGAGAGTTGTTCTAGCAAATTGAGTACACGTCTTCTGTCAAACGTAATTCAGTAGAACAAAATGAGATTAAGAGACTGTTGAGGCCAGGATTTGAAGTCTGGACCCTCAGATTAGAAGTTTGATAGCCTGCTGACTAAGCCACCCAGGCCCATAGTGCTGCATACCTACTTTTGCTAGTCAGCCTGTTCAGAGATGTTATTACACGCCTCTGGAGCAGATCGGGTTTGAACCTGGGCATTGTTGCCCAGTGGCAGGGACACTACAAATATGCCATAGTCTGAGCACAGATTTTAATGTCTATGCTAAACTTAAGTGAGGACAAAGCTATCTGAAGTGGATGGGAAAGACACTTAGCAGCAAAAGCAATTGAGGAAAGTTGGCAGATGTTTAAGAAAATTGTTTGTGACTCACAGTAAAGATATAGCCCAGTGAGAAAAAGAATTCTAGGAAGGAGGTAAACCAACCATGATTAACTAGGGAAGTCGAAGCTTGCATCAAATTGAAAAAGAAATACAATGTAGCCAAGATTGGTGGTAAGCCTGATTTAGAAAAGTTTTTTGAAAACTAACAAAAGATGACCAAAAATGAAAGAATGGGAAGAAACTTTGATGGCAAACTTGCAAGAAAAATCAAATAAGACAGCAATATATAAAAAGGACAAGAGAAGCAAAAGTTAACGGGCCCCTTAGAGATTTAGGCAGGGGAAATAATAGTGAACGAGGAAAAGGCAAGGAAGTTGAATAAATACTTTCCATCAGTCTTCACGTAGGAGATGGAAGTAATGTTCTAAAATTACTAATAATTAAGGGGGAAAAGGAGGAAAGGAATTAGAGAAAAAGTACTAGGGAAACTAATGAGGCTAAAGACCAATAAGTCCGCAGGACCTGATGGGATGCATTCTAGAATATTAAAAGAAGGGACAGCAGCGTGGCTCAGTTGTTAGCATTGCTTTCTCATAGCACCAGGGACCCAGATTCGATCCTAGCATTGTCCGTATGGAGTTTACATGTTCCTCCCTGTGTCTGCGTGGGTTTCTACTGGGTGCTCTGGTCTCCTCTCACAGTCCAAAGATCTCCAGGTTAGGCGGGAAATGTGAGTTTATGGAAATAGGACAGGGGCCAAGGTCTGGGCAGACTTGATGGACCAAATGGGCTTTTTCTGCACTGTAGGGATTCTATGATTCTAAGTAGCTACAGAGATGGTGGGTGCACTGGTAGGAATTCTTAGATACTGGGAAAATCTCAGACAATTGGAAAACTGCCAGTGTAACACCCTTCATATAAAAAGAGAAGGAGACAAAACAGGAAGTAACTGTCAGCCAGTGATCTTCAGGTCTGTAACTGGGAAAGTGCCGGAGTTTCTTGTAAAGGATCTAGTTGTAGAGCATTTAGAAATGCGTACTACGATTTGTTAAAGGATTAATATCTGTTCTGCTGACATGTAAGAAATTAGGTGCTTCATGGTAGCCCCTGTCTCGCAGACAAAATGCGGTAATCTAATTATACTCTGCTCTCTGTAAATGTTGAATTAAGGCTAAAAGGATAAGGAACTATCTAGTCTTACACATTGTTTTTGGGCGGCTGACCTTTGTTCTACTGTTAGGTGATTAAGTTACGTACTATCACTGTTGCTAGGCATGTGACTATGGGGGAGTAAAACATTGTATCTTGCATACATGACTGACTGTGATGTAAAATCCTATATAAAGGGAGGACGGTTCCCTTAATAGAGAGCATCGCTTGACACGGCTCCGCAAGCCCTGCGAAGATTAAATGATCCTCCAAAGCTTGTACTTGCTTAAATAAACTGTGGCTATTCACAGAAGTTGGCGTATTGCATTTGTATCAAGTGCGTAGGAATCGCCTAAAAGGGAACCTTACAGATTGAGCAGAGTCAGCATGCCTTCACGAAGGGGATACTATGCCTAGTGAATGCATTCAAATTCTTTTGAGAAGATGAGCAGAATACGTAAAAGGGAAATTGACAAGCAACCACACATTAGGCTTCTTAGGAAGATAAGTGCTCATGGTGTTGGAAATAATATATTAGTATGAGAGAGGATTAGCTAACAATTAAAAGACAGAATTTGGATAAGGGGGGCATTTTTAGGACAGCAATTTATTGATGCTGCAGGGATCACTACTGCTGCCATAATTATTTACAATATACATTTTATGACCTGGAAGAGGTAAATGGTACTGTAGTCAAGTTTGTGACTGGCACAAAAATAGGTGTAAAGGCAAGTGATAAGGATGACAGTAAGAAATGACAGAAGGACATAGACAGGTTTGGCGAGTCGGTAAAAACTTGCCAGATGGAATATAATGTGGGAATATGAGGTTACACACTTTTTAGTAGGAAGAACTGAGGAGTGAATATTAGTTAGATGGAAAAAGACTTCAGAAAGCTACAGCACAGAGGAATTAGTGAGTTTTCTTGTGCATAAATCGCAAATAGCTAGCACCCAAGTTCAGGCAAAAAAGATGGAAAATGGAATGTTTCCCTCTTATTTCTAAGGTAATAGAGTATAAAGATAGGGAGATTTTGCTAAAGCCATTCAAACCACAACTGCAATACTGTGAATAGTTTTGGGCCTCTTATTTAAGGAAAGATATACTGGCATTGGAGAGGCAGTCCACAAAATTTTCACGAGGCTGGCCCTGGTTATGAGGGGACTGTCTTATGAAGAGAGGTTGAGTAAGTTGGGCCTGTACTCATTGGAGCTTAGAAGAATGAGAAATGACCTTGTTTAAACTTGCTTGATTCTTAGGGGATTGACAGGGTAGATGCAGAAAAGTAGTTTTCTTTGTAGGAGGACCAGAGGCTGTAATCTCAAAATTATGGGTCACATATTTAGGACTCCGATGAATTTCTTCTCTGGGGGTTGTGAATTCCACAAAATTCTTAGCTTCAATAGACTTCTGTAGCAATGTCATGAAGTACATTCAAGGCTGAGAGCCAAATTTTTAATCAGAAAGGGAATCGAGGGTTAGGAGAAAAGGTAGGAAATTGGAGTTGAGGATTATCCATAATCTCATTGAGTGATGGGACAGACTTGGTGGTTGGACTATTTCTGCTCCTACAGTTTATGGTCTTCTGATCATCAACCCAATTTATCGGTAAATTGCTTGCCTGACCATCATGTTATTACCTACCCCTGTTCTTACCTCTCAATGTTTCTCGAGATCTTCATACTTTTATAACCTTATTTATGATTTGACTTATCCAGGTCAATTTACGACTTCTTCTCAGTGTGCCTTCTAGTCAGAATGTAAATAAATTTTGTAATTATTTTCCGTTGTCTTTTACATTAGCCTGTTATTGCTTACTTTTTGTACTGTTTTTGAGGCAGTAGTGTTCTCTTGTCGTTTATAATTTAACTTCTGTTATTCTGTAGTTGAAACAGTGAAGACCATGCCAACTCCTTATCTTCAATCCCTGGAGAACTGGTCTCTGCAACAAGCTGTAACTGGGTTAAAAGAAGTGGGCAGGCATTCTGAAGCTGAAGCCTTCTGCACTAAAGTACTGTCTAAATCAAAAAGCAATTTTATATATGCAACAGTTTATTATATTGTCTGCAATGTGATTTCACTGTATTAATAATCTTGGACTAAAGATGCCAAAAGCTTTTAATTGTTATATTTTATATTAAAACATATAAATTATATTACAACATTATATAACTATGCAGTTTCAGATCTAGAAACTTAATAAATGTCCTAGTATACAATTTTTTATATCTGTAATAGGCTACTGACATTGTTTTATGATTTGATGTAACAACAGTAACTTGCATGCATTTTAATGTTGGAACTACAGTGCATCACAGAATTCTGGAACTGTACGCACCTCTGCCACACGCACTTTTTTGCTTTTCTGTTTGGTCTTCTTTATTTAGATTCTAAAGAGGCACCCAGACCATCCCATGGTGTTCCTATTGCTGAGACAGGTTCAATGTGAACAGCTGTTGCTTTCACAGCAGCGGCTTCCAGATACAGTTTTAGGAGAACTGAAAAAGGCAGTGATGTCGAACTTCACATCAGTGACCGCTTGGCATGTAAGTTTTTTTTATTTATATTTGTGTCTTCCTGCAATAACTTTTTTAAAAGTTTGATTTATGATTTAGGCTGTCTGAGCACTAGGTTTCATGGCAATAATTTTTAAAAATACTTCTATTTTTCTGTTCATTATATTCACTGTATTCTGCATTCTAGATCAAACTTCTTAAACTTTGAAGAATTCTATGTCAATCATTAGTTTCTTTTTCACATGAACATTGAGAACCATCAAAATGTTATCTTTAATTATTGTCATCTGAAGTTCAAAAATAAGGGGTTATGTTCTTCACAGAGAAAGAATGGAAGAAAACTCCAGGGGAGTATAAAAACCATCATACAGTTGCTGACATCATGCCCTGTTCCTATGCTGTATATTCTGTGTAAGAGTGAAAGCATGCACTGGATATGTAGAAATATTCCCACATTGCTTTGTGGTCTCATAGGGCAGGTGGGCATTCAGGCTTGCAGATGTACACCTGATTGTCCTAACATCAAGGAACCAACCCATGGTCCCACTATTTTAGGTGTGTCAGAAGTGGAATTCTTGAACTGGCACATTGCTTTCTTCATACACCAGTTTCAAATCCAATATGGATTTTCTATTTCAGATTAATTTTATAATAAAGGTGGGTATGTACTCAGTGGTGGCTATAAGGATGGTCGGGGGATGCGGGCAATCTCATTAAACCTTACAGATAGTGAGAGGCCTGGATAAAGTGAATGTGGAAAACCTGTTGCCACTAATATGAGAGACTAGGATCCGAGCATACAGTCTCGGAATGAAGGGATGACACTTTAGAACTGAGATGAGGAATTTCTTCAGCAGAGGGTGGTGAATCTGTGGAATGCATTGCTGCAGAAGGCTGTGGAGACCAAGTCTTTGAGTGTATTTAAGACAGATAGATAGGTTCTGGATTAGTAAGGACATAAAGGGTTATGGGGAGAAGGCAGGAGAATGGGATTGAGAAACCTATCAGTCAGGACCTAATAGTGGAGCAGACATAATGGGTCAAATGGCCAAATTCTACTCTTGTATCTTATGACCTTATGGAGGCAATCTAGAAACTGTATTGTCTTTGTCTTTGATAACATTTATTTGATGTCAGATCTGTGGTCTGGATTTGTAGTCAGCAAAACAAGGGTGCTGATTGCAGGCATCAAAGAAAGTCTCATTGAGAGATCTAGCAATCACTATGGCATGAGCTTTTGAGTCTTTTGACATGAAATTGATGATAGTATTGCTTAATGGTGATTGTCAGTGTCAAGCTGCAATGATGTCACCAAGCTACTTAATCAGCTGAATTCATTGAAGAATACTCCCAGCCACCAGGAAACAAATTCTATTCATTAGTCAAAATGATAATTAACAACATTCCATAAATATGTAATTTGTTTCTGAAGCTTATTGGTCGTGCAGTAGTAGTTATGTCTCCGATTACCAAACAAAAACTCCAGTTATACCTCATTGAACAAGGTGTAATTTTTATGGAGGTTCTAGCAGGGATATAAGAATGGAAGTGGAGACAATTTTGCCCAATCCATTGATTTTTCTCTTTGCTGATTCTGACTGGGGTATTGGGGAGGATCCACAGCACAAGCTGTGGCAAAGCAGTGGATGACAGACTGAAATTTCAGAATTTCTGTCATTGTGTTAAACTCTGAAGTTGTGGTCAAGTTTGGTGGGGTTATGACCATGAGGGCTGTCAGCAGTGAAAGTTTGCCATGGAGCACAATTGTTTTTCTCTACCTTTTTAATGAGTATTCGAACTCTAAAGTTCAGTGTGTTTTTAAACCTAGAAACTGCTTGGTACATTTCCTTAGGTGGAATTTTTTGCTGATATTTATTAGATTACCTTTCATTAACAATTTATGAAGAGTTTATATTGCATTCTTAATACCATTCATAGAAAGTTAAAACTTAGAACTTCATTGAAAATAAATCTATCATTGAATCATCACTTAAATGCCACTATTTGTACATACAGTCTCAAGCATCCATTTAAGCCATGTAAATGAACATGTCCATTTTCAACTCTGCTTCAGAAGAATTTCAGAACCTAATTTAATGTTAGCAAATCAACATCAACTGGCAGGATGTCAGGTGTTAAACATATGATTGACTGAAATCTATGCTCATCTTTTAATCTGTTTCCATCTAGTGGCTGGCAGAAGTATATAAATCTCAGGGTTTAATGATAGCAGCAGAAATGTGTTACAGGCAAGGATTGCAACTATCTTCACAACAAGGCGATATGAATGGCAAACTGTCAAGTCTGCTCAGATTAGCATTGCTCGCCCTCTCACTCAGTACGGTAAGAATTTTGTTAACTGCAACTGGAATTTTTTTGTGCTTGCATACTATAAGCAAATGTTTTCTTGTTTTCTTGTTTTGTTGAAACCCTGATTGTAACTGCATGCTGAACCTTGTGGTTAGAAGCTTGATTCTGTTGCTACCTAATGCTTTAATAGAACAATTGATTTTAACAAGTATTTTTAATGTTTTTAACTCTTCCTAAATGTTATGATATAAGAGCTGTTTTCTGTCCTTAGGTGAACTCAGTCTAAATTCAGTTCAGAACTTTTAAAGTGCACTGAATATATCCAGTGAGAATTTAAAGGGCTACATTATATGCTATTTTATATAAGTTGATGTATGCAGCAATAAAGTGCGGCTACATCCAAATTTCCTTGTTAGTAAAGAATGTTTGAATTTTTATTCTGGAAAGTATCATAAATAAAACTGTTACATAGCTATTTTATTTGGAAGAAATGGTTATGATTATTTGAACCTTGAATATAAAAGATTTCTCCTTCTCTTCCCCCAAATGGTGTAATTTTATTTTTGTCCTAGCAATTTCCTGTTTGTAGCAGCAAGGATGGAATGTACCTATTTGTCACTTGCATCAAATCTCCAAAGAAAGCTTTGGTGTGTGTGACCCTTCAACTCTGTCTTCCTCCATTTGAAGAAGCAAGCCAAGGTTTCTCCTTTACATCTCCCATAGTATCATATTTCAAATCTTGAGCTTGCATCAAGGAAACTTAAAGCTATAAATTTGCATCCTACACAAGTCAGTTCAACTATCATAGATAAAATAGCACCAGGAGCAGCAGCCATCTCTTTTTAATTCTGCTCATAATTGCCTAATTTTATACACCTTAATCAAATCTCCCCTCAAGCTCCTTTACTCCAAGATGGACAACCTCAGCTTCTTAAACTGACCTTGTAACTAAAATCACTGATCCCTGGAACTGATCTGTTAAATCTCCTCCACACCTCAACGACCACTGATATCCATTGCAATGTGCAGTGACCAGACTGGATGCGATGCTCTGGTTGTAGTGTAATACTTTATAAGAGGAAAATTTGACGTGGTCTTGTATTCGATACCTCTATTTATGAAGTCCCAGATCTCACTTGCTTTGCTGCTTGCCATTCAACTTGATATTATTCATTAGCTTCCTCATGTTCCCTTACACATTTTTTTTTTCTCTGCCGCTCTCTCACTCTCGCATTCGCTCTCTTTTCCCCCCCGCCCCCCCCACTTCCTTACTAAGCATAACATCTCTGAATCTTGACCCTACACTGAAGTTTTAATGCTGTAATTCCATTTCCCCATTATTACAAAATGAAGGTGTATCTAGATTCACTTTTCCCAAGGACCACATATAAACAATGGTGACGTATAGGTGGCTGCATCAAGTGTGATACCAAGTCAAAGAGTTTGTTTATTTTAAACAAGCATCTTCTAAAATCATTATCAGTAACTCTATGTTGGTAATTGAATCAATTGCAGATCACCAGTGTTCTCATCTCTGGAGGGTAATGCTTCATATTTGAATAAAGGTGTCTTTGGTCATACTATATATATCCACCGAGCTGGTTCGTTGTTCCGCATTTCACATCCAAAGAGTAGCCCAGTGTAACCAAATTATGCATGTTGAACTATGTGAATTCAAGTGCAAATTCCTTTGAGGAGTTTTAGGATTTTATAACTTGCATTGTTTCCTAACCTTTTGAATATCTTAAGGTTAAATCTTAAAATGTGGCTGCTTGCTTGCTGAATAAAGTTTTAATGGCTGACAGATCCAAAGGTTGCCTACCATCCTAACAGTAACACTTTTTAGGACTAAAAACAGGCAAAACATTTAAAATTAGTTGTGTTAAGTCATTGATTTATCTGTTGGAATGATTGAAGAAGCTTTCCTTTTAAATATATCCCAATGTTATTGTTTGGATGAAAGTAGCAATCATGACATTTACTAGCTAGTCCATTATAGTGAGTAATTGCCATAGACTATGACAAGTGAACATTCAACTAATGATAACGGGTAATAAAATGTTTTTAAAGAGTAGCATGAAATTTAATTTTGAGATCAATCCAGTGCAGAATAACTTCTTTAAAAAGTACTGCACTTTTCTCCTGCTGCGACCAATCTACTGTCTTTGGCTATGAAACCCTATCAAAATTCACATACTCGGTTATAAACACTTGGATCCACCAGACAGCAATATCTTCCTCCATTGTACCTACCTTAAATTTAATTTGAGAATTTCTGTTAGGGTGTTTTTGAGAATGTTCACCTTGCCTGATATGATCATATGTGTAAATACTTGCCATCTTTCAAGATTTTTTATTTGAATATGCACCTGTTAAACTTGTTAATCTTTAATAAACAATATAGATTTTTCAATATTCAGCACAAATTGTCTTTTTTTAAACTTGCATTAAAATTGGAGTCTAAAAGATTAACAAACCTGTAGGAAAAGAGAGCAGGAACACTAATCGATACATTACATAAGTGCTTTTGAAAAGCTGTAAACTGGTCAGGATTCTATAAAGTGAGCACCACCAGTTTTTGTCAATTTCAGATCTGTTGGATTTGCTTATTATTGTCTGGTCAATTTAGATTCCGTATTTCCATCATGGATTTTAATATAAGTTTTCAAATATAATGCGTTCAGTTTTAAATGAAGTTTCTCCTTACTACTTGTCAATAACATAAAATAGATTAAACATTAAACCTGAAATGTGACCTTTTGCTGTACCTGCCAAATTTAAAACCTCCAATTTAATGGATTGAACATTATTATGTATATAAACTTCACATTTGAATTTCTTTTTTATTAGATTAAACTTCAAAGCAATCGATGGGCATCACTAGTCAAAGAAGCAACCGGTGAAGCTCAAAAGATCTCTTTTTGTCCTCTTGCTGGTCTATTCCAAGCACTGCTGCAATTTGTAGTTAAAATGGGAGCAAGGTAATATTACATATTTATATTTCAGATTCCATGAAATGCTATAAATAAGTAGTCCTCTACTTATTTCTTTATTTTTAAGAATATTTCAGTGCATCCAACTAACTAGAAACATACACTAGGTATTCATAGGAAGGTATTAAAATTCTTGAAGTTTGCCTTAAACCAACATCTGTAATTTGGAGTAGACAAATGAAATTTGTAAATGTGTACAAGCTAAAGTTTGTTAAATAGCATTTGTTAATGAATAAAATATTAATTTTAGAGAACAGTTAAGTATCAACCACATTACTGTGGTTCTGGAGTCGCATGTCAGCCAGACCCAGGTAAAATGGCAGATTTCCTTCTCTAAAGAACATTATTAAACCAGATAGGTCTTTACAACAATCACTAAATGGTCACTATTAGACTAGCTTTTTTTACTCCAGATTTTTATTGAATTCAAAATTTCCATGTGCCTTGGAGATTTTGAACCAGCATCTCCATCACATTAATCAAAGAAAAGTACTGCAGATCTAGTGTCCCAAGTCCAGCAGTCTTCAGCTCCATTCATCAGCGACCTTTGCTCCAGTATAATGTCAGAAATGTTGATGTTCATCGACAATTGTGCAATGTTCAGCACCATTTGTGATTCCTCAGGTACTGAACCAGTCCATGTCTGAATTCCACAAAAGCTGGACAATATCCAGTCTTGATCTGAGAAGTAGCAAGTAACATTTGTACCATGCTGACAAAGGGTCTCCAGACTTGCAACTGCAACTTGATTTTTCTTTCCAGTGATGTTGACAGATCTGCTGAGTTTCTTTAGCACTATCGTTTGCTTTGGAGTACTAGTCCAGTGACATTACCACTGTACCACTGCCTCCCCAAAGTTGACAGGGTCAAAGGGCTCGCCATGAGCATGGGTGGGAGAGTTAATATGAAAGGAAGCTTTAGTGAGGATAAGAGGGCTGTGATTTCTGAGGAGAAAAGGTAAGGGAGTATTGGTGGTGCCTGAAGTATAATTGAAGCTGTTGAGGAAAGAAAAGAAGGACCAATATTTCATGGAAATTTGGGACAGTTAAATGAAATGATAAGGAATGAAGATTTTTTTAAGGAGAAAACTTAGGAAATAGATAAGAATGTCGAACAATATGACGGAAGAAAGGCTCCCAAAAAAAAGAGGAGAGAGACTAATTCTTGACAAAAACAAAGTTGCTGGAAAAGCTCAGCAGGTCTGGCAGCATCTGTGAAGGAAAAAACCGAATTAACGTTTCGGGTCCAGTGACCCTTCCTCAGAACTGATTCTTGACAGTGTGATGAGGTGATTTGCATGGGGTAGGTAGTGGAAAATATATTCAGTCTTTTGACTTTAACTTACTGACTTTATTTCTAAATTTTTGAGGACTTAAGTGGCTAAATTGTTCAAATGAATTGATTTTATTTTACTGCCCTACAGGGAAACACGACGGCTGCTCGAGAGAGTGGTATATCAGCCAGGTTACACGGAAAGCATTGCATCAGTTGGCCGTTGGTACCTCCTCCGACATTTGTGGGCCAAAAATGATGATGAACTTATCACAGTAAGTTTAAACAATTGGCACCTATTTTGTTTATAAACTAGGAGCATTGTGCAGTTTTGTTGCTAGCACTGGTCTTTGCTTAAAAAGCTACAGTGAAATTTAACAGAATTGTTTTCAAGACAACAAGGTGCAGGGCTGGATGAACACAGCAGGCCAAGCAGCATCACAGGAGCAAAGAGGCTGACGTTTCGGGCCTAGACCCTTCATCAGAATTGTTTTCAATTTCATTTTGTCCTTTTTTTTTATTTGCTCATGTGATATGGGCCTCACTGGCTAAGACAACATTTATTGTTCATCCATATTTGCTTAGAGGGCAGTTAAGAGTCAACTGCATTGCAGTGGTCTGGAGTCATATGTAGGCCAGACCAGGTAAGGATGGTGGATTTCTTGCCTTAAAGGGTATTAGACCATTGCTAAATAAAAACCAAAAGAACTTCAGATGCTGTAAGTCAGAAACAAAAACAGGAGTTTCTGGGAAAACTCAGCGGGTCTGGCAGTATCTGTAAAGAGAAATCAGAGTTAACGTTTTGGGTCCTGTGATCCTTCCTCGGAATAGGGAAGGGTCACCAGCACTGTTTTCCAGCAGCTCCTGTTCTTGTATAATACCATTGCTGTTGTGGAGTCTTGTAATGTGCAAATTTGATGCTGAGATTGCCTACAAGTCAAACGTTAATTCACTAACTGTGAAAATACTGAGGTTGTGAAATGTACAACATGAACACACGTTCTTTTTATAGCTTTATTGTTTTAGCAAGAGGAGCGACGGTGTAGTGGCATGTCAATGGGCATGTAATCCAGAACCCTGGGCTGCACTGATGGGTATTTACAACAATTGACAGTGTTTACATCAACATCATTAGGCCAGCTTTTTATTCCATTGTTACTGAATTCAAATTTTGCCATTTTTTAAAAATTCATTCATGGGACACTTGTGTCACTGGCTAGATCAGTATTTATTGTTCATCTTAGTTGCCCAGAGGTCAATTAAGAGTCACACTGCTGTGGAGTCCCATGTAGGCCTGACTGGGGTACGGATGGCAGTTACCTCCCCTAAAGGACTTTTGTGAACTAGCTGGGTTTCTCTAACAATCAACACGGTCATCAATAACTCTTAGTTCCAGAATTTTTTTTTTTTTACTGAATTCAGATTCCACTGTCCGCCACAGCAGGCTTCAAACCCGAGGTTTTGGAAGATTACCTGGCTCTCTGAATTACTAATCCAGTACCATCACCTTCCCCAATTTAGAGGCCAGTAGATGGGCAGCATTCTCTGCTCTCTACATGTATGACGATGGGATTCAAACCCATTAGCCTGGGGTTTCAGGGTCCAGTGACAGTACCACTATGCCGCCACCCCTCCTTGCTAAGATAATCAAGCCATACAAAAGGTTTTAGAAAAAGTATGTTTAAATTTGTACCATTCACAACCTCAGTGCCTTACTGAAAGTACTTCTCAGTTAGAGAATTACTTTTGAATTGTAGACGCTGTTAGCGGGAATCTCAGCATCAAATTTGCACATTACAGGACTCCACAAACGGCAATGGTCTGAATAATTTTCACGCTGTTTTACTGGTTTTGGTTATTGAATCAATGCTAACAATGACTCTACTTGCTAAACAGAATATTAGCCTATGTGTAAAATAAAATGAAGACAAGATTTAGTTGGTTGGAAACACTTTGCCTCCCCTTAAGGCCAGATTAATGGCGAAGTGGTATTATCACTAGACTGTTATTCCAGAGACCCAGATAATGTTCTGGGGACCCGAGTTCGAATCCCACCACGGCAGATGGTGGAATTTGAATTCACTAAATATCTGGAATTGTGAATCCATTGTCGTTTGTTGGAAAAACCCATCTGGTTCACTAATGTCCTTTATGGAAGGAAACTGCCATCCTTACCAGGTCAGGGCTGCATGTGACTCCAGACCCACAGCGATGCGGTTGACTCATAACTGCCCAATTAGGGATGGACCAATAAATGCTGCCTGGCCAGCGACGCCCTCATTCCGTGAATGAATAAAAAAAACCCACTATCCTTTAAAATTCTCACTGTCTTTCATAGAAGTGAAGGATGGTCACTGGACTCAAAATGTTAACTCTGTTTTTCTCCAAAGATACTGCCAGAGTTTCTCCAGCTGTTTCTCTTTTTTTTTAAATTTATTTCATTGTTTTCTTCTTTATTTTCCTCATTCTCTCATGCCCACAGCTCAGAGTGAGCTCACTTGTGGAAGCCTGCTATTGGTTTGACTGAGCTTAGCTAATTCGGCACAAACTAGGTGTACAACATGGGATTTAGCTGGTATTTGAGGATCATGCCGGATAAATGTCATTACAAGCTCCCAAGAATATGTTCACTTATTCAAAACTTTGTTTTAAATGAATTTACTGTGCTTTCAGGTATTACTTCAAAATGCCAAAATGAAAGGAGATTCTAGAGTTGAAGAGCTGCACAAGAAGCTTATTGAATCATCCTAATAACTAAACAAGAACAAAGATTGAACTCCAATGCATGCACACTAAAGTCTTGCATTGTAATTTATAGATGCAGCCACCATATTACTCAGATTTCTGGTTGTCAAAAAGCAGTAGCTATGGCTGGCTTTTTTGAAGCAATTTGAATACAGTACGATTTGTTGCACTTTGGCTATATTGAAAAAGACTGCGAATATTTAGACTAGTTTTCTCTTCTGCCATCATATTTCCTGCACTTTTCATCTTAAAAGCTGAAAATTTAAATATACCATCATGACTGGGAAGCATGCAGATTTCTTTATTTCTGATTGAATGCCTTCATTTTAACTTCACCAATGATCTGTATTATTATAGTATAAATACACCGAAACAATCATGTTTGAACATTTTGTTGCAAAGTTTAATGTAATGTTACGATTAAACTATGTACTCCTATCATGATTTCCTATTGAAGCCTGTAGGCATGTTTGCATTTTGTTGAATTTTTTTCTTTTTGTTTCACTAGTCGTTTAAGACAGAAATATCATTTGTGCTTTGCATCAAATGTATTTAATTTTGTCAAATTACTATGCAATAACAACCATTTCTGTATTGAACTGGAATAATCTTCTGAAATGCTGCTTCAATTAAGATAAAAAACTTGATCCATAGAAATCCTTAAATACTTTTAAAGATGGATCTTATTGGCAAAAAAAAGTGTTGCAATATCTCTTCCCTACAGCTTTGCTTCATGTGGCTCTGTGTCTAATTGAACCAATAAAAATGCAGAGGACTTTGTTGCAATTGTGCTCTACTCTGGGCCCATAGTGGGACCTTATTTTTAAACAAGTGTACAAAATGGATGGTTAAAACCAAAATAGAAAAATTAAGGACAAGTCAACTAAATCCAAGCGAGCAGAGAATACGTGCCTTGACAGTCTGCACTGTCAGTTGCAGAACAGGTAACTTAAAATTGTGTCATAGAGTCACACAGCATGGAAACAGACTCTTTGGTCCCACCAGCCTATGCCAACCAATTTTCCCCAAATTAACCTAGTCCCATTTGCCTTCGTTTGGCCCATATCTGTTTAAACCTTTCCTGTTCCTGTGTCTGCCCAAATGTTTTTCAAATGTTGTAATTGTACCTATATCTACCACTTCCTCTGGCAGTTCATTCCACACAGGAACCACCCTCTGTAGGGAAATAGTTGTCCCTCAGGTCCCTTTTAAATCTTTCTCTTCTCACCTTGAAAATATACCCTCTAGTTTTGAATGCCCCCATCCCCCATCCGAGGGAAAAGGCCTTTGACATTCACTTTATCCATGCCCCTCGTGATTTCATAAACCTCTCCTAAGGTTGCGCCTCAACCTCCTACACTCCAGTGAAAAATGTCCCAGCCCCTCCTTTATAACTCAAACCCTCCAATCCCAGTAAAACAACTTTCCAGTTGCCATCTACTTTAACATCTCCTCCCACTGCCCTGCTGACATGCCCATCCTTGGCCTCCTCCACTGTCAGTGAGGCCAAATGTAAACTGGAGGAACAGCACCTCATCTTGGGAGCTTACAGCCCAATGGTCTGATTTATTGACTTCACCAGCTTCAAAATCTCTCTATCTCCAATTGTCTTCCTACACCTCTATCTGCTCCATCCTTCCCACTGACCAACCGCAATAAACCTTTACCTGCTATCACCTATCTCCATCTCATCTCACCTCCCCTCCCCCAGCTCCACCCATCCCCCCCCCCCCCTATTTATTTCTGGGCTGCCCTTCCCCCTACCCATCCCTGATGAAGGGTTTCAGCCTGAAACGTTGACTTTCCTGCTCCTCGGATGCTGTGCTTTTCTAAAAGTGGCCTCACCGATGACTTGTACAACCGCAACATCACATTCCAACTCCTATACTCAATGGCCTCAGTAATGAAGGCAAGAGTGCTAAACAATTTCTTTACCACCTTATCTACCTATAACACAACTTTTAGGAACTATGTTCCTGAGCTCCTTGGTTCCATTTATTGTTTACCTGCACTTAGTAAGTTATGGACCATGCCCTGGCATTTTACGTGTTTGTCCAAATGCTTCTTCAGTGCTGTGAGAGTACCTGTCTCCACCATCCTCTGACAGTGCTTCCCATAATTTTTCCACTCCCTGGTTGAAAAAAAAATTTCCTCCAATCCCCTCTAAACCATTTACTCCTCACCTTAAATTTACGCCCTCCAGTGTTAGAGATGTCTGCCAGGAGGAAAATATTCTCATGATCTACCCTTTCTATGCCTCTCATAATTTTATATACCTCAGAAACCCCGTCAGTGTCCTCTGCTGTAAGGAAAATAAACCCAGCCTATCCAGTCTCCCCTCGTAACTGTGTTTACATCTCGGGCAACATCGTGGTGAATCTCCTCTCCAGTGCAGTTGCATCCTTCTGATTAGTGTAGTGAGCAGAACTGCATGTAGTATTCCATCTGTGGCCTGAACTATGCTCTATAAAGTTGCAACTTCCTGCTCCCTGGCTAATAAAGGCAAGCATCGCTTCTTTACCAACCCCCCGCCCCACAACTACCCATGCTGGCACCCTCAGGGGCCTATGAACTTGTACTCAACTTTCCTTTGTTCATCAGTACTCCCTAGGAACCTACCATTCATTGTGTAAATCCTTCCTTTTTAAATCTCGTAAAATGCATCACATCACACTTATCAGGATTAAATTCCATCTGCCATTGTTCTGCCTAATTTACCAGCTGATCATTATCAGATTATAGCCTGACACCACCACCCTCATTATCAACAGTACCACCAATTTTCATGTCATCTGCAAAATAACTAATTATACCTTCTGCATTCACGTCCAAATTGTTAATGTACATAACAAACAGTAAAGGTCCTAGCACTGATCCCTGCAGTACACTGCTGGTCACGGGCTTCCAATGACACAACTAGCCTTCAACACCCTTTACCCCCTACTTCCGGGCTAATTTTGGATCCAGTTTGCTAACTTGTCTTAGATCCTATGGGCTCTTACCTTTTGGACCAGCCTTCTAAGTGAGATCTTGTCAAAGGCCTTTCTGAAGTCTCTTCAGCTGCACAACCCTCATCAATATATTTAGTCACCTTTTCAAAAAGCTCAATTTAGACAGGATCTCCCCCCAACAAATCCATCCTGACTGTTCCCAATCAATCCCTGGCCTTCCAAGTGTTGATTCATCCTGTGCCTCAGAATATTTTCCCATCATTTTTGTATCACTGACGTCAGACTAACTAGTCTGTATTACATGGTCTATCCGGGCTGCCCCTCTTCAACAAAGGAACAATATTAGCTGTCCTCCAATTATCTAGCAATTCTTGCGTGGCCAGCGAAGTATTAAATATCTATGTCAGAACCCCAGCAATCTCCCCACCTGCCTTCTGTAGCAGCCTGGGCTACATCTCAAGCCCTGAGGATTTATGCATCCTTTCTAATGCTGTTATGTCCCTACTGAAGTGTGCTTGTCAGCATTGTAGTCTATGTGGTGTAAATCTGCACACAACAGTGTCAAGAAGGGCGCTCAGGATGTTGGTCCGGTGACATTGAAAGAGTGATGATATTGTTGCATGTTTATTTGGTCTGGGGCTTGGGAGATCAACTTCCAGGTGATGGTGTATCTGTGCATTTTCCACCCTTGTGCTCCTAGGTGATGGTGGTTGCAGGTTAGAAATAAGCTGTTGAAGGAGCCATGCTGCAGTGTATCATGTAACTGGTGCAGACTGCTGTCACTGTTTGTGGAAGAGAGAGTGAAAGTTTATGGGGATAGATGGTGCACCAATCAAGTGGACTGCTGAATCCTAGATAATGCCAAGCTCCTTGCATCTGGATGAATGGAGCAGAGGTATTCTATCACAATCCTGGTTTGTGCCTTGCAGATGGAGAAGGGTCCCGACCTGAAACGTCAGCTTTCCTGCTCCTCTGATGCTGTCTGGCCTGCTGTGTTCCTCCAGCTCCACACTGTTATCTCTGACTCCAGCATCGGCAGTTCTTACTATCTTTTGCAGATGAAGGATGTGTTTCAGTATCGGGAGATGAGTTATCACAGAATTTCCAGCCTTTTTATGGATGGTCCATTTAAGTTTCTGGTCAATGGTAGCAGCCTGTTCTGTTGAGAGTGGTGGATTCAGCACATTAAATGTCACAAAATGTCAAGGGGAGATAGTTAAGTTCTCTCTAGTTGGGGATAGTCCTTGTAATGTTGTGATGTGAAGTTACTTTCCACTTGTCAACCCAAACCTGGATATTGTCTGGGTCTTGCTGCATTTGGGTAAGGGCTGCTTCAGACTTTGAGGTGTGAACATTGCTGAACAGCAGTCATCAACAGACCTCCCCACTCTGACCTTATGATGGAGGGAAGGACACTGATGAAGCAGCTGAAGATGATTGGACCTAGGACACTACCCTAAGGATCTCCTACAGAGATGTCACGGAGCTGCGAAGATTGATCTCCAACAACTACAACCATCTTCCTATGTGACAAGTATGACTCCAATCAGCAGAGAATTCTCTCTCTGCTTTACATTGACGTCTGTTTATCTCAGAACTCTTGATGTCACGCTCACTCAGTTGCTGCTTTGATGTCAGGGGCAGTCACTCTCACAGCTGGAGTTCAGTTTTTTTTCTCCATTTTTGAAACAAAGTTGTAACTAAGGCCAGGTGTTGGGTGGCCCTGACCCCAAGAGCTAGTGAACAGTTTATTACTCCACATGCCACCTAATTAATGCATTTGACACTTTCCCTCACTTTGATGAAACTGTCCCTTTCATTCTGTGGGATTTATCTTTGCCAATAAGCCTGTCATATGACCCTTTATCAAATACCTTTTGTAAGTACGTGTATACTGCATCAATTGCATTACCCGCATCAAACTTATCAAAATCTCCAACTTGGAAATGTCAGGTTGCCACTGACTATGGTTAGAAAGTTTAGAGGGGAAGTGAAGAAGGATAGGGATGAAAAGGAAAGTATGAAAGAGACGTGGAGCTAATGTGAAAGCGAGTCCAAACGTCATAGAAGTAGGCATAAAGAATTGTGCTGGCTGGCTTTCTTTACTAGTCTACATTTACCCAAATGACTGTTAATTTCATCCTGAATTATTGGGTTGAATTTACAAGGGGTGGTTACAAATATCATTGCTGACCCCACTGAAAATTCAAGGGGACCTCAGCTGCAATCCTGATGGCTTGGAGGAGTATTAACTGCTTTTGAATGAGTCTTCCATCCCTTTCCCAGGGCATGTCCTGCCTAAAGCTGCTTGAATTGGATGACCGGGAGCTCAGGCCAGGCTTCATCAGTGACCTTCCCTCCATCAATGCTCAACTGGAAATTGAGGCAACTCCTGAGATTGGCACTGTGCTGAGACACCCAGCTAAGTGCAGCACTTGTGGGTTGGTGGGTGAGGCGTGAGCATTAAATAGGGTATGGCTTTGGTGAGGGAGGGAGGGGTGTTGTTGCTTCAGATAGGTTGGGGTAGCATCAGTTCAGGTAAACTACTGGTGGTGGTGCCCATTAGGTGGCCACAAGAGCCTCAGGTCAAAAGTTGGCACCTCCCTCACCCCCAGTGAAATATCATCTGGGTCGGAGATGGATAACATGAAAGTTTGTGTTTGGAAGATCTGCTTCGGATTTTAGGTTTCCCCCACCACACCCACCACTTTCAAATCCACACCTGGGAGAGTGTAATATCTAATTCACTGTATGTAAATCTTTCGCACCATGATTAAACTGATTGGCCTGTGGCTCTGGGCTTATTCTTGCAGTCTTTTTTGAATATGGGTGTAT